TGATTATGTTATACACCGTGCAGTCTTGTTAAGTTTTACTTGTGATGTTTATGAAATAGTGAAGTTGATATTTATTGTCGTTCATTATTTTTTGTTCAAAAATCATGTGAATGTACTGGGGTAAATATCACCTAAGACATGCTAAAGTTTGCACATGACTTATTTTAAGTATGACTTAAGTAATGTAGCTGGTTGTGCTTACAAGATATTGGATCATTTTCTAGAAATCACTGGGATGAATTTAGTTATTTTTCAAAAGTAAAATAGTATGTACTTATTTAAAAAGGAAGTAGAGTATTTTAAAGGGGAATCTGTAATAACTCTAATTATGTAGACCCACCTTTGTAAAAGATTTCAGAAATACAAAAATGACCTACAATGATTTGTTAAAAATTGTTATAAAGTACAGTGATGTGCTTCATGTCCTTGAAGGTTTATTAAAGAAATGTGTTCTTCATGTAGATTTACATTTTTTGTTTTTGTTAATTATTATTCATTTTGATTAGCCTAATTTACAAGTAGTAAGTTAACTTACAAAACAGATACAAGAGAATATTAGTCTAAGAGTGAACTTTATTTTGAACAGCAAAATTTTGTTTAATTGATCTTGAATTGTTAGCCAAAACTAATGGGAAAAAATTAAAAAGTACAAAAGCATAACATGCATATGCTGTATTATTCTGAATGAACAGTGCTATAATTAATGGAATTAAAAAGGTGTTCAGAGAATGTTATTTAGAGTAGGCCTTCTGATATGAGAAAGAACTATATTTGATAAAAGCCAATATCTGCCCCCCTTCCCAATCAAACAATAATGGGGAAATCTTGAATATGGTCTAAGCCAGGATAATAATACATAATAAGGTAAATATAACTTAAAATAAATGGCATGAATTCAATGTTTCAAGGAGTTTGAAAGAAAATTTTATTTTACATTCAATTATTTGATGTCTGTTCAGATTTTATCTTTTGATTGAATGGTAAAATCAAAGAATAGTTTTTGAGCACATTTGCACTTTACAAACACTATGAGCTATAATTATACAAATTCATGCATTTCCTATCTTTTTTGAATCAAATGGGAAATCTCAGTGGTTTGTGCTGTTAGAGAAAAAAAAGAATTACGTTTTTTGTTGAATCATTATTAATGTAGTTAATTCAGATTTATTTTTTACGAATGTGCACATTGAAAGAGACATATACAGTTGTGCACATTTTAAGAGATTTTCAAAATTTAATCTTTGAAGGGTAGAAATTTGCTGTTACCATATATAGTTCTTAAAAACAAATCCTTGAAATTATATATTTTGGTTGTTATTGTGCAATATTTCATCATGTATCAACAAAAAAGTTGTATATTGGAAGCAAGTGATAAATGTACCATATGCAAATAATGTATGTGTCTGTTTATTTAATATAATAAAGTGAATAAAAAGTGTTTGTTAACTTTGTCGTTTTTGCATTAACCCATATGTAATATTTGTTATGTCCTGCCATGAATATGGTCGGGGTATATAGTGATATAGTGTTTGTCATGTCTGTCTTCTGTCTTTTCGTCCTTCTGTCACACTTTGCGTTTAGTTCGGTTCAAAGCTCAGTTTCAAAGAAACTATCCAAGATATTTTCATCAAACTTCGTATGCTGATAGGTATTGATGAGAGCTATGCAACTGCATCAACATTTTTTGACCTTGACCTTTCCTTTCACCCTGACCTCACTTTTCTTGGTGTTTAGCCCAGTTTTAAAGAAACCATTCAAGATGGTGTTATCAAACTTCACATGTTGATACATACTGATGAGAGCCATGCAATTGCATCAACTTTTTTGACCTTGACCTTTCCTTTGACCTTGACCACTTTAGCTCACTTTTAAAGAAACCATCCAAGATATTTTTTTCAAACTTCATGTGCTGATACATAATGATGAGAGCTATTCAACTGCGTAAACATTTTTGACCTTGACCTTTCCTTTGACCTTGACCACTTTAGCTCAGTTTTAAAGAAACCATCCAAAATATTTTTTTCAAACTTCATGTGCTGATACATAATGATGAGAGCTATTCAACTGCATAAACATTTTTGACCTTGACCTTTCATTTCACCTTTGACCTCAATTTTCTTAAATAAGTGTTTATGATTTTATAGTTTCTTGGGCATTGTTGCATCAGTTATGCATTGATGAGCTGACTTTAGATATCAATAGTGAAAAACTTTATGATTTAATATTTTGAAAGCTTTTATCTTGTACATTTGGAAAACTATAGCATCTAGGTTCACTGAAGTTAGAAAGATGATGCACTTTACGGCACAGGGATGTGTCAGTGCAAAAGTAGGTCAAAGTGACCTACATTATATTAATACAGCATGTAATTGAGGATACCATCTTTTGAATATTTTCACCTCAAAAAAGCCATTGTCCACCGAGGGGCAGCATGTTTTACAAAAATAAATATAACACTGAACTGTACACATATAAATTTTGTGCAGTCAATATTTTCTGAAATTGATATCACCCTTCATCAGGCAATGTTGACTGTTGCTATGCTGGAGGTGTGGTTTCATTATTCAAATGGTATTAGTGATTTTTAACAAATGTTCCTCAAAGAATTAGATTAAACTATTTTACATGAAAGTGTAATATTTTAGAATGATATTCTTATTCACCAAGATTTTGCATAAAAAGATAGGGACTAGACACAAATTATGAACTTTTTCTTTCAGTGACCTTAAACTTGCCCAAATGACCTGGGTCAATGACATGACACATCCTCAGGTCATAAGCAATCTGTGTAAAATAAGAACTCACCAAGTTTATCCATAAGAAAGATATGGATCAGGCACAGATTCTGAACATTTTTCTTTCAATGACCTTGAACTTGCCCTTGAGTCAAGGTCATGAAACACCCTCAGGTCATGAACAATCTTTGTGTGAAGTAGTAGTTTCTAATGTTACTCCATAAGAAAGATATGGAGCAGACATGTTTGCATAGACAGACAGATGGACAAGGTGATTCCTATATACCCCCCCCCCAACTTTGTTTGCAGGGGTATAAAAAATTTTAAGAAAAGTATCCTGTCAGTTCTTCATCTCTCATCCAGCTTCAATGTCTACTCTTCTCTCAAATTTGTACCATGCCTGTGTGGATATGCTTTATGACTGAACAAAATTACAAGTGCATTTAAAATAATCTTTATTGCACATATCTAAATTGCAAATATACATTTATAAAAACAATTTATAAAATATAGTATAAAAAATAAACTGTATTCATTTACATCCATAAAAAATATGTATATCAACCTTAAAAGATTAAAAAGGCAAAGGTGAGTATCACAGAAATTCTTTTTCATCTAATGAACATTAGATTTGTCATTTGTTATTATGAAATGCTGATTCACAACTTTTTTAAAAATGATTTACATCTTATTTGTCTAGATTAGTGACAATAACTGATTCCCATTTTTGTTATTAAAATATGTTTGTAATTACTATAAAGATTACCCCTTCCTTTGTAAAGCTTTCAGTAATGTAATTTATAATTTCTGAGCTTTGTTTTGAGCATATATTACTGAATGTATCATCAGGATTGGGAAAAACAAGTTCTTACAACTTACTTGTATCATTTCAATGCATGAAAATTTAAAAAAAAAAATGAACCAGACAAAAACTTACATCCTTAATTGTATTTCTACAAGATATACTGCTCTGTTTTTAACCAGAGGCCCAGGGGTCACATCACTCACCTGAGCACATTGACTAGGAAAAAGCACAAATCAGATCAGAATTGAAAAAAGGGGGGGGGGGGGGGCTTGAATATTAATACTACTTGAGATTGAATTATAATACTACCTGAGAATGCCTCCATATCAATACAGCATATAACTTTGCTGTTCTTGAGAAAAAGATTTTTAAAGATTTTTTAAAAAACATTTTGTTTGTATATATTACTTCGTAATAATTTGAATTTGATTCCCCGTTGTTTCCCTCCCTACCCCAAAGGGACATTGTAATCCCCCCCCCCCTACACCAGGGGGTCATGATTTGGACAAATTTGAATCTAAACTACCTACATGTAAGGATGATTTCACATGAGTTTTATCTTTCCTGTCCCTATGGATCTTGAGAAGAAGATTTTTAAAGAATTTTCCTATATAATCCTATGTAAAACTTTGATCGACCATTGTGGCCCCACCCTAGCCCCGGGGGTCATGATTTGGACAAACTTGAATCTACACTACCTAATGATGATTTCACATGAGTTTCATCTTTACTGTCTCAATGGTTCTTGAAAAGAAGAATTTTAAAGATTTTTTCCTATACCGGTATATTCCTATCTAAAACTTTGATCGGCCATTGTGGCCCTACCCCACCCCCAAGGGTCATGATTTGAACAAATTCAAATTTACACTACCAGAAGATGACTCCACACGAGTTTCATCTTTCCTGGCCCAGTGGTTCTTGAGAAGAAGATTTTTTAAAAATGCCATTAATTTTTCACAAATTCATAATTATCTCCCCTTGGAAGAGGGCTTGGACCTTCTTTTGAAGAAACTTGAATCCCCTTCTGGCTTCACCTAAGGATGTTTTATAGCAAGTTTGGTTGAAATTGGCCCAGTGGTTCTTGAGAAGATGAGAATTTGAAAAGTTAACAATGACAACAAAGACCACAACGACAAACAACGGACAAATTTTGATCAGAAAAGCTCACTTGAGCCTTCGGCTCAGGTGGGCTAAAAATGAAGCTGATTTAAATTCCAAGTTGCTTAAACGTACTTATTGTGAAATCAAAAATTTTCTTGTTGTTTTCCTGTTATGTACAGACCCAAATTCATGATGATGTCCTTAAAGAGATGTAAAATTTCAAATACAGGTAGTGAGTATGTATATATCTACCGTAAATCACTTTTAATTCTCAAGACCTTTATTTTCATGTAACAAGGTGAGCTAGTGAGCTCAAGAAAATTTCCTTCTTGCACAATTCGTGAAAATTATGTCTCACTAATAAAGTTAATAGTCAATGACTATCTTGTAAAAATAAGGTGTTGCAAAAATTTAGTGATCTACAGTATTTAAGACTTTTTTTAAACCACAAAATTTTTATCTCAAAGACCAGTACTTTTTTCCTTACAGTAAGGAGTGACATTCTTTTTCACAATTTACAAGTACATGTCATACAAAATCAAGAAAATATTTTCTTATGTACAGAGAAAGAGTAAAAAAGTAAAGGGAAGGAAGATATGTCTGCACCATTACACATTAACAATATACATTACATGTTTCTACCCGAATCACACTGGAGTGTTTGATTGAGGCTTTGAAATATGTACCTGGGCATGTTTATAGTCACTGGTCTTATTTTTACAGGGATGTAGTAAATCTAGTAATTCTGCGGCAGTGATAGACAGGCTTTGGCACCTCAAAATGCCGTCATTCCAAAAATTCACCTGGGGAATCCCCAAACCATCTTCTACATCAAATCTTAGTTGATTTCTGTCATCATGAAGAAATCGGATAAACTGATGAAGAGATTTGGACTCAAGGCTGTCAATCACTTCCCGAAATGCCCTTTGACCTCTCCAGACTTCCCACATCATTAGGCCAACCCCATACATGTCATGCTTAAAACTGTATTCTGTCTGAGATGGTACAGACAAAATATCTCTGTGGAAGTACCTGAATTTGGCCAGGTCTGTTGCTTCCTCTGGAAAATTACTGGCATTTAATCTCTGAGGATATGTAATGTGGATGAGCTTTATTCTATCATTTTGATCAACCTAAAAAAACACAATACAGAATACTAAGCATCATAAAACATTACAAAATTTAACAAAACTTATATTACAGTAGGTGATATTACAAAATTTCATAGAAGTCACATGAAAAATATTCCTACAAATAATACCTGCTCTTTTTGTTCCAGTTATAAAATAATTATTAGGAAAACTAACCATGACAGAATCTTGAGACACATCTAAATGGACTAGTTTTTTGGTATGTAAGAAGTCCAGCCCACTAATAACTTGCTCCATAAACGGATAGAGGGTATGTATCTTCTCATCAGCCTCAATTGTCTTCTCGTCCATGAAAACACGGAGACTGCATTTTATAGGACACAGAACAGGCCAGATAAAATGATGTTCTGAAGAGCTTCTTAAAATCATGCAAATGAGTGGAATGTTGTAAACAAATTTGTTTGACCTGCAAAAAAAATATTTTTTACTACATGTATTATAATTACTTGAGGATAGCATAGGGAATACTACACAGCTTAATCAACACTTTCAATGGGTGTGAAAAATGCAAATCTCTGAATTTAAACAGTAGTTTTCAATGATATTGTTAAATAATTTCCAAAATACTACAGACATCATTTTCTCTTAACGATTCTCTGATTATAAAATCACTAAACTTCGGGGGAAAATTTAACTTTTGTTTGCAGTTGCCGACCTATAATTTTTAGACTGGGTAGGTAGGTAAGCATTCCTTTTTTTTAATTTGTTTTCAGACTTTTGTTAGATAACAAATAATAGAGCTTTTTCATAAGCTTACTAAAAATGAATAAGCTTCACTCTTCTTATAAACCACTGATTGATAAAAACAAAAGTCAAAAATTGAAAATGCAACAGTTTCAATATCCTGAAAAATTGAAGAAAAAAAATAATATTACAAAATGGCTGAAAAATAAGTTTGGGTCCTGTGCATTTTTAGTGGGTTAGGTAACTGCAAACAAACAAATTTTTATTTTAGGCCTAAGTATATGTACATGGTACAGGTCACCAAAATAAAAGAAGGCTAATCACCTATATGCTTCCTCTACTCTCATGTGTTCCATGATGTTCACTTCATCAACGCTGTAACAATTCTTCACAACCACTACCTCGCCATGGCCCCCTGTTTTACTGGTGTCTTTAGATACCACACTGCAGGCATCTCCAAACAAACCCTGCCACAGAACTCTCTCTTCTTTAAAATCAGAAAATGATACGTAGGAAGTGGGAGCTAATTCGATCTTGTAGAAATACGTCAACCTTCGGCGAAATCTTTCGAACCTGACTTTCTGACTAGAACAGTTTTTGACTATAAATTCCCGGGTCTGTTTCTCTTCTTTCCTCTTGTCAAGCAGAGTAAGTTCTGCGTCAATCTGCTGGAGAACTTTCCTCCTCTGATTCTCCAAATACTTAAACAAATGAGAAACCTCCTTTTCCATGATGGGTTTCATTTTCATGGGGTCACTTGTAGACTTCAGAATGCCCTCTGCATACTTTCTGAGTGAGTATCTAGCACCCTTGGAATAGTCTGCCTCTAGCATTTGACCTTTTACTTTCCTTGCTAATTCCCTTATTCCCCACACTGGTAATCGGACAAGAGCACCAATCAACAACACAGGAGAAAAAGAAATCCCCACTAAAACTTTTAGTCCTAAGTTTATGTTGTCAAATTTTTCTGCAATAACAATAGGCACAAATGGCTCAATTTTCTCATCAATTATATTCTCTGACTGGTTATGCTGAATATACCTCTTTTGTAAATTAAACAACTTGGAGTCAAAGTCTGGAAACTGCCTTTGAAAGTTTTTAGCCATGTTACCACCAAGTAACTCCAACTTTTTGTTTTCAGTCTCCCACTTCTGAATTTCCTCTGTTATACTGTCATACAGCTTGATTCGCACTTTAATTGTTGCCTCTTTCCACTGGACATTAGTTATGTTCATGGTCTCTGTAAAATCACACAATTCCTTTACCTTTTTCTCATCCTGCAGGTGATTTTTTAGTTCTTTGATCAAATCTTCTAGGCCTTTATCAAAATTCCTTTTTTCTACTTCAAAGAATTCATAAACATCTTCCTTTAGTTTTCTTAGATCTTCTACTGTCTCCTTGTTTTTGATCAACCTCTGCTCTTCAGTTAAATGGACATCAGAGAGACTACTCTCTATTGACATTGCTGCCTTATCCAAAACCTGCTGCAGCAACCTGCCAAAACAGAACATCTGATCAAAATTCTACATCACTATAATTTCATAACAGTTTGAATGGAGTGTTATAACTTATCAAATTAGTCCTTGAGTTTAAATAATTGATGGATTGATTTCTTATACATTGTACATTAATGAATACTTTCTGTGTTTGAGCAAACATTAGGAAACAAAGATCCATAATCTTATTTCATTTATATCAACACCTTAAACATAATAACTTTAAAATAAACAACTTGTAACATTTGGGTTGCAGAAAATATAACTTTTTAAAAGTTATATTATCTTAACATGAAATCTGTTTTTAGCTCCTTTTAACACAATTGAGTACTGTATCCACACACATGACCCACCTTGCGGAGTTCAACAGGAAAGTGTTTCTACTCTCTGGAATGAGACTGTTGATCTTCTGTAAAATAGCAGCAAAGCGACCCACAATGAATTTTTCTGGTGTCTGCTGTATAAACATGGCTTCCTTTGTGGACAATCTGAAGATCTGATCCTCCTTACAGCCCGGCCAACCAGTGGATTCTGTACACAGCTTTTTGACCGTGTCCTGATATACTCTACCTCTCTCCTCAAATGGTACCTGTGCAGTAGTGTAAGACATTAAAAATTAGCATAATTGAAAGAAAGACCAGGTATCTCTGGTGAGTAAGTCTGTGTTGCTCTATTCAGGAACACATATTAATTATTCTATTCTGCATTCACTATGGGTGGTGTACTTGTTAATTACTGAAATTAAGCTGAAAATGCACCTACTTGGTCCCATTTGTTGCAGATGAATATCGCACAAGTTGATCTGTAATCCTGTTCATCATGAAATGCTTTTTCCACCACCTTCTTCAAAAGATATTGTAGCTGCAAAAAAATCATGATTTCAGTATTTAAATTCATGTAAGAAATGACAAGTGATGTAAATCATTTATTACTTTGTATCAATGATTTTAAATGATATTTTAAGTATTTCAGTAAACTTATTTTTCATTATACTTTATTTAAAATGAAGCATCCAAAAAAAAATTTTGGATGTTGATTTTTAGGATTTTAAATGTATCATTCCAAGGGTAAACAAAGGAAAACAACTACACATATAGCTGAACTTTGAAATCTTAAACTCTGATGTTTTGGAAGTGATTTGGAAGTCCCAACCCCTTTTCTTTAGATTTTTTTTACCCTGTACATCTAGGATATCTCATCGTTTTTTCAAATTCCAATTGTGTTCATGATAACATATTTTGACTGTTACAGTAGTATTTTGTCTTGACCAAACCAATGTATATTTTTGATTTAGATTTTAATTTGAAATACTTATCATACATGTATATCTTTTTTAAAGAAATACTGTACATGTACATAATTTAGCGCATTCAAAATTAAGCGCTACCAATGGATATGGAGTTGTTGAAGTAATCATGAATTAGCGCTACACATGTTCGTGCCGTATATTCAATTTATAAAATGAATTCTTAGCAATATTCATGAATTAGCGCATCCTCGTCTGCACCAAAGCCACTTAAATATGAAGCCTGCTTTTTTAGTACAAATACAGTAATTACCCTGTCTGGGGCCACTCCTCCTGCATTGTCACTGTTGATTATGTAAATGAATGCACATGCTTTAATGAGATAATCCAGTACAATGTCGGTCATTTCACCTGTGTCAGCGATTCCTGGACTGTCCACTATCAACAGACCACTCTGAAAGTATTCTTGAATGATAATCATTAATTACACTTTTTTGTGCACAGGAAAACTTAAAATGTTTAAGTTAGTGAATGACAAGTTCTATCATGAAGGGAGAATTGCAAAAGATCTGGACCAAGATTAAAACATGATTCCCTGTACTCCTGACATATACTTTACCAACTTAGCTACCTTGATATTGGCAACTGAACATATTAATTTTTTAATAAGAAACCAATTTAGGCTCCTCCTGGCATGCATTTCACCTTATTATTATTACAATACAAAAGGAGTGGAGAAAGTTTACTGGACAGCAAGAAGATTCAAAACCAGGGGTCCGTTTTACAAAAGAACTAATGAATAAGACCAAAAAGTCAGTTGATTGTAGAATTTTGCCAAATTGATTATTCTGTTTAAAATTTCTTGCGCAAAAACATCTTTCAATATTCCTTTTAAAAAAAAAAAACAAGAGGCCCATGGGCCACATCGCTCACCTGAGCACCAAGGGTAGGACTAGTATAAAATGGCTTTTTATTGTAAAGTTTAAATCCAAAAGTAGTCCCATGACCAATCATGGATTTGCTATTTTTTAGAAAATGATTGAGAAGAAGATTTTTAAAGAATTTTCCTAAATATTTCTATGTAAAACTTTGGTCGGCCATTTTGGCCCCGCCCTACCCCCGGGGGTCATGATTTAACATTTCTTAATCTACACTACCTGAACATGCTTCCATATAAATATGATGAATTATGGCTTTGTCATTCTTGAGAAGAAGATTTTAAAGAATTTTCCTATATATCTCTATGTAAAACCAGAGTCGGCCATTTTGGCCCCGCCCTACCCCTGGGGGTCATGATTTGAACAAACTTGAATCTACACTACCTGAGCATGCTTCCATATAAATATGATGAATTATGGCCTTGTCATTCTTGAGAAGAAGATTTTTAAAGAATTTTCCTATATATTTCTATGTAAAACTTTGGTCGGCCATTTTGGCCCCGCCCTACCCCCGGGGGTCATGATTTGAACAAACTTGAATCTACACTACCTGAGCATGCTTCCATATAAATAATGAATTTTATGTCATTCTTCAGAAGAAGACTTCTAAAGAATTTTCCTATATATCTCTATGTAAAACTTTGGTCGGCCATTTTCACCCCCGGGGGTAATTTAACAAATTTGAATCTACACTACCAGCATGTTTCCATATAAATATGATGAATTATGGCTTTGTCATTCTTGAGAAGAAGACTTTTAAAGAATTTTCCTATATATTTCTATGTAAAACTTTGACTTCGGATTTAAAGCCCCGCCCTAACCCCGGGGTCATGATTTGAACAAACTTGAATTACACTACCTGAGCATGCTTCCATATAAATATGATGAATTATGGCTTTGTCATTCTTGAGAAGAAGATTTTTAAAGAATTTTCCTATATATTTCTATGTAAAACTTTGGTCGGCCATATTTGGCCCCGCCCTTACCCGGGGGGCAAAAAATTTGAACAAACTTGAATCTACACTACATGAGCATGCTTCCATATAAATATGATGAATTATGGCTCGGACATTCTTGAGAAGAAGATTTTTAAAGAATTTTCCTATATATTTCTATGTAAAACTTTGGTCTGCCATTTTGGCCCCGCCCTACCCCCGGGGGTCATGATTTGAACAAACTTGAATTTTTACACTTGAGGATGTTTTAAATCATCTTTCCTGGCACAGTGGTTCTTGAGAAGAAGATTTTTAAAATATACCACTAAATTTTCATTAATTCCCAATTATCTCCCCTTGAATAAGGGTGTGGCCCTTCCTTTGAACAAACTTGAATCCCCTTCACCCAAGGATACTTTGTGGCAAGTTTGGCTGAAATTGGCCCAGCGGTTCTTGAAGAAGTCGAAAATGTGAAAAGTTTACAGACAGACAGACAGACGGACAGACGGACGCCGGACAAAATGTGATCAGAAAAGCTCACTTGAGCCTTCGGCTCAGGTGAGCTAAAAACATTTTCAATTTAACATTAATAAAAAATTTATAAGCAGAATTATATTTAGTTTTAAACGCAAGTTCTTTTGTAAAAATGGGCTCCAGGTCCAAGCTCAGAGCTTTAGATGGGTGCCCGTATGACTATCACAAAACAATGTTACTAAGATACATATCTAAATAGCTGACTTATATATAGCAACAAACCTTTTTTTCTACTTCGTACTTAACTTTTATCTTAATATTAGAAACTTGTTTAATGATTCATTTGTAGATATAAAGAAAATATATTGTAGGAAAATATTTTTAAAATCTGTAATTTGTGAAACAAACTACATGTATAGCTGGTATTTCATAACACACAGATCTCAACATTCTATACCTTCAGAATGTCACTTGGTAGAAAAATTTCCACCCTTTTATAGAGAGACTTTTGTTCTCCTTTCTTCTGTATCCTTTCACTGAGCTCTGTCTGCATATCTTGTAAGCTTCCAAAGGGCATCTCGTTCTTAGACTCAGCATTATCAATGGGATGAAAGCAGGCTTTGTAATCTTCTCCATACTGTATCTCACAAATTGTATTGGTGTTACTCAGTAGAGAGTGAGGTAACAGCTCGCATCCCAAGAGGAGGTTAATAAAGGAGGATTTCCCTGATCCTGTCTCTCCTGAAAAAAGTAAAACTAGTTATTTCTATTGTAAATTGTATTTTTAATGAGATATGTTAATAACAGGCCTGGAATATAACACTCCAAATTAAGGGGATAATACTTGATCTACTCTATTGAAGTTCTTCCCTATTAACATGATTTAAGAGGAAAAAACCATCAATAATGTGATGTCTACACTTCTGGAAATTATATTTGCAATTGCCTTTGTTAGCTTGATTTTTACTATACATTCATTATCTTATAATCCTATTAGGTTCTGGTGAATTTTATGAACATTCAACTAAAGCAATATTATCCTGAAATAAATATTAAATGCTAAATGGAAAACTCAATTATATTTTTTAGAGTAATTTTGAATTTTTTTTTCCACTTAGAAACATGTATATTGGATAATAAAGTTCATTACTCAACTTAACAACTTCCCTCTAGGAAAGCGTATACTTGAGATTTCCCCATCACTGGATGTGGTGTAATGTTTGTGTGTCAGGATAATCAAGTTTTACCTCTATCTTTATATCAAGTAATTTGTAAAATAATCTATTGTTTCAGGTTTCCATCTTATTGCATATTTTAAAATTATTTCCCAAAATGTTTGAAATACCATGAATTTAGAATATACAACTGAAACTTATACTAGTACATGAATTTGAAAACTTTTTAGCGATAAATAAAACTACAAGCATCTATTTAACAGTCTCAAATACCAGTACATTTACTACCTTCAGAACTAAATTAGTAAATATATCATTTCTATTCGTTTTCTCTGTGATAACCCTTTGAAAGTTAAGTGAGTTGATTTCTTGATACTTCTACTGGAGTGTAAATTTCACCAAGCGAAAGTTCGGGAACTAAGGAGACCTAATATGCATGTAAATCTTGTGCATCTGTCTTTGTGTCTGACATTAATGAGCAGAAACTATTGAAATTGACATGCAAGACCCTGTGTAATTTAAATCTACTGTGGTATTGGACAAAATTTTTAAAAATCTAAATTTACAATTTTATTTCACAATGAAATGGAAATGTATCATTTTAATATCATATGCATGTACTATCTTACAAATATTAGCAACCTCTAGATTAAAATATATTTCCAAAACAGCATTGATTTATTTCATTCATATATGATCAAAACAATATATTAAAAAGATCTGTGCAATTTTAACATGCTCCAATACAATTATTACTTTATTCGTAAGAACATGGTTTGGAAAAGGGGGTTTCACTGCTTATAAACATAAGAGGTAAAAATAAAATGTTGATGTGAAGCTTGCTTTGTGCAACTATTAAAAATTTTCTGGTATATACAGATATATAAAATGTTTGAAGTGGGGAAACCCTTAAAATACAAGAATTATACCTGAAGCCAAAAAAAAGTGATGATGTAAATTGAAGGCTTTTACAATGCTTGGATCTGTAACTCTCTGGTTTGTCTATCTGAATTTTCTCAACCAGAGTGCAACAGTTCTCCACCTACACGGTGCATAACTTAAATAAATTATCAACTCCATTGGTTTTTTGCCTTATATCATTTCCAAAAAAAAAAGGCTATAACTTTTGAAACTCTCTATGCCTGTAAATAAAAAACAAGTTCATGTAATACTAAAATTCTAGAAGACTTATTGTTTGTAACTCTAAAGAAAATGTTATAAGCAGTTGAAGCTTCCAAAATATGTTGATGGTGCAAACACAGATATTCAGTTTCAATTTAGGGTCTTTCTCTTCAAACTGTGTGACATTTTGTACACCTAGACTGACTCTGACATCACAACATAAAGGTAGTTATTATTAACTACCAGAAGTCTAAACAGTGCTTAATATTTCCGAGAGATTTTTTGGGGGAGAAATGCAATTTGTAAAGGATTGAAAGGCCAGAGGTAACAATGGAGAAGAATTCATTTCTGATTTGGATCAATACGTGTGCAAAGTCTGAATTTTTTTCCACCTAGGCATTGCTGATGAGGGCCCTATACGAACTGCACTCACTTTAAATATAATCTTCACTGAATACCTTGAAATCATTAACCATGTTAACATATTTATCTTACCCAACACCATGATTGGACAGGTCATATTTTTGCTGAGTAGCTTGGATTGTTCATTCTCCAGGTTAGTAATGAGGTTTGGAAAGCAATGATCAAGATGATCCAACAGTGTGTCACCACTCTGTTTTAAATCGTGAAGAGCCTGAACAGTAGACGAATAAATTTCACCAAGCCTCATCCGAAGGATGCTATCATTTTCAGCATCAGATGATAGACCTTGTATTACCTAAAAAAAAATCCCCAAAATATACTACATGCAAATAACACTATTTGGTTCAAGACTACTCAAAGTGAAAGTAGCCAAAGAACCATAGCTTACACTATCACGCGATCTTCTATCCCTCAGTAAATGGCGTTTCAAGGTGCAGCGAATTTCACCGATATTATTCAAGCCTGAAATGTCGATCTCTCGTTCTCTAGCCACTTGACGTGTTCTTGGAAGTTTTAACCGGTCTATTTCATCCTCTTCCATCTTCTCACTTCTGGCGTCTGCTTGAGGGTGGGATTGTTCTGCCGGATTCAATTCAACTTTTAGAATTGACATCCAAATTAGAGAAGTTGTACTTTATTGTTTCGGGGGCAAAGTCGAAATGGTTATTCTATTTTTTGAAATTGTTCTGAACCAGCAATGTTTTTCAACGTATTTTAAAAAAATAAAGATATTTATTTGACAGTGACAAGAACTGAATTTCAAATGAAGAAACAAAATGCAGATTTACTAATTTATTATTATTTCTAGTTTTACCCTACAATTTCTAGTTTTACCCCAACCAAAATGGAGGATTTTTAACTCTGGTAAGTTCTTCTTCTTCCCTTTGTGGATTATACTAAAATTGAATGTCAGTACTCCAGTAATTCTATGAAGTTGAACAGGTTGACAAAAAATACTTTGAATTCACTCACTAGTTGTCCTCATTAACATTTCCTAAGTAAAGTAATAGAGATATGACCGATATAGCTAAATGTAAACTATGAGTGGGTAAATCTCTCGTTTCATCTGATAATATGTTGACGGTGCGACCGTTAGAGCGAGCGCAATCTCTTCGATTGTTAGCTCACCTGAGCTGAAGGCTCAAGTGAGCTTTTCTGATCAAAATTTGTCCGTCGTCTGTCGTTGTCGTTGTCGTCGTTGTTGTTCTCGTTGTTGTCGTAAACTTTTCACATTTTCATCTTCTTCTCAAGAACCACTGGGCCGATTTCAACCAAACTTGCTACAAAGTATCCTTGAGTAAAGGGGATTCAAGTTTGTTCAAATGAAGGGCCACGCCCTCTTCCAAGGGGAGATAATTATGAATTAGAGAAAAATTAATGGCATTTTTAAAAAATCTTCTGCTCAAGAACCATTGGGCCAGGAAAGATGAAACTCATGTGGAATCATCCTCAGGTAGTGTAGATTCAAATTTGTTCAAATCATGACCCCCGGGGGTAGGGTGGGGCCAAAATGGCCGATAAAAGTTTAACATAGGAATATATAGGAAAAATCTTTAAAAATCTTCTTCTCAAGAACCACTGGGCTAGGAAAGATGAAACTCATGTGGAATCATCTTCAGGTAGTGTAGATTCAAATTTGTTCAAATCATGACCCCCGGGGGTAGGGTGGAGCCAAAATGGCCGATAAAAGTTTAATATAGGAATATATTCCCCATTTTCAAAAGGTGAGTTATTTCCCCTGAAGGGAACTCTTTTACTGTGTTTAATACACATGCGCTGTAAATAAAGTCACTTCCGCGGACGTTCTTGATGTAAACATGTTCATGGTGCAATGCCCCTGTTGTATAAAAAAAATGTTATTGTGTTTGTGAATAAAAAAAAATCTTTACTGATTCGTATTTTTTTTTAAATTGCCCATTCAGTCTTTCTAGATTTGTATTAATCTGTATAGTAGTATAATAAGGCGCTGTGTGAGCCCCCCCCCTCCCCCTTACAAAAAAAAAAAGAAAAGAAACAAATTACTGATAAAATGCTGATGCATATTCGAATAGGCCTATTTAAAAAGAAATAATTTTAAAAAATGCTAATTTTCGGTAGTGGATATTCTGCAGACGGATCATCATTATTTACAAAATGTGCATGCAGAACAAATATAAGAATTTTTAGTTTTTACGAATTAATCTAGCCTGCTGCAGCCATATTTTTTTCTCAGCCATATTTTCTTCTTCTTCTTCTCTAGGAATTTTTTGGAGACCAGGGCTCGACATTAACGCTTGTCCGCTTGTCCGGTACCAATGAAAAAAAATTTCGGACAAGTGAATTTTTTGGAGACAAGTGATGACATGTCAACTTTTGTAAAATTTTCTACAGTTTTACCCCAATATGAATTGATATTGCTGCATATACAGCAGACATTTGTGACTTTAAAATATATTTAGTTCGATTCACTTGCGAACATTTATGCCGTTGTGAGGACAGGAAATCTAGATAAAATTTTGTTTTATACTTATTTATCAATAACAACACTTATGAATCAAGCACATTTAATTTTTTTTTATTGTTTTCGTTTACATAATTTTTGCTCGATTGTATGTCATGAAATAGAACTTTAACTTACAAGAACACATTTGGTGACAATTAAAGGCCTATTTCATTTGAATTAACTGTGTTTCCAGAATTTTTTATTTGTAAAATAATTGATTCACTGCATGTAAAGTATTAAAAAATTGAATGGAATTCTAAATGAATTATAATTTAATCTCATGTACTCATGTAACGAAGAAAGACTAATTAAGATAGCATCGACCTGAATTCGTGTTACATATGTCGTATGAAGTCTGAGCTGCATTTATTCAAAGTTTTAGTGCATGATCTAAGCATATGTACAATGCATATTCCCGAGTAAAATACACATTTTGTTTTAGATCAGAGAATTGACAACAGAAACACGAAATTGATACAATTATTTCCTAGCGTATTTCTTATTAATTAACGGAAAACATTCTTTTATCAAGTGTTATTTATGTTTTACTTTTTCTATTGAAAATGTTCATTGAAAGACAGGTTACCACCCCCCCCCAACACACACAGTTTATACTACGGTAAAGTTATATAAGGGAAATGTAGTATTGTATGCCAAGGAACTGGTACTGAAATAAGTAGCTTTTCGACTTTGGGCAAGGTTTTTCTTTGCGTGTCAACTTTTCCAGGTAAGAAAAAACATATTTCTTTGGCTCCCCCCCTCCCCCTCCCCCCACACACACACTTTTAAAGACGATGCTACGTGCCTGGCTAATTCGTATAGCTTTCTAGAAAGGGGGGGGGGCAACAGACCCTTTATAAAATCGCTTATTATCTAAAAAAAAAATTGCAAACCGTTTCCTTCTTTTAAAATTTTTAATGCAGCGTGTAAGTTGATCACTATTTTGTTGGATTATCCTAACGTGTAGTCCGCGGAAGTTATGCTAGTGTAGAAGAGTTCCGATTTTGAGGGGAGATAACTCACTTTTGAAAATGGGGAATAGGAAAAATCTTTAAAAATCTTCTTCTCAAGAACCACAGGGCCAGGAAAGATGAAACTCATGTGGAATCATCCTCAGGTAGTGTAGATTCAAGTTTGTTCAAATCATGACCCCCGGGGGAAGGTTGGGGCCAAAATGGCCGATCAGTATTTTACATAGGAATATATAGGAAAAATCTTTAAAAATCTTCTTCTCAAGAACCACAGGGTCAGGAAAGATGAAACTCATGTGGAATCATCCTCAGGTAGTGTAGATTCAAGTTTGTTCAAATCATGACCCCCGGGTGTAGGGTGGGGCCACAATGGCAGATCAAAGTTTTACATAGGAATATATTGGACAAATCTTCCTCTCAGGAACCATTGAGACAATATGAAAGATGAAACTCTTGTGGAATCATCCTCAGGTAGTGTAGATTCAAGTTTGTTCAAATCATGACCCCCAGGGGTAGGGTGGGGCCTAATGGCCGATCAAAGTTTTACATAGGAATATATGGGGAAACCTTTTAAAATCTTCTTTTCAAGTACTTCAAAGCCATGCTTAGTGATATTTATAGGGAATCATCCTCAGGTAGTGTAGATTCTAGTTTGTTCAAATCATGACCCCTGGGGGTTAAAATTCAACCCCCCTCCACCCCTTCAGTAAACTTTCAGTTCTGATCTCAAATGTGCTTTTTCCTATCCAATTGCTCAGGTGAGCGATGTGGCCCCTGGGCCTCTTGTTTTAATTTAGATCGGGCTCGTCAAACCGCACGTGACATTTGGGTCTAGACTCTGACGTCACATGACGTCGTATGTAAGTTGCATTTCCAAGAAAAAAAAAACTGAACAGTGCTGAAAGTTAGTAAAGAACGTTTCGTTTACTATTTATTTTCAATATTTATCCATTCAATCAAGGCGAGTAAACTTTTTTTTTTTAACATTTGCCATTATTCTCGTGAGAACGTAGCTAAAACAAGTGATGGATTGTGGGTCCAAATTACTGCATCAAAAAATTCTATCGAATGAATGTGCAGTAGTCCAAATTTTCTCTTCGCACAGGCATTGCTTTAAGAGCTCGCAGTGACGAGCGACGCTCGCTGCGCTCGCTATAAGAGTCAGATTCATTAGTAAGGATTTAGCCAGGTCATACACTATCACGTTTCCGTAACAACAGAATGTACTCCATACAATAAAACTTTCAAAACACTTTTAATTAATTTAAATTAGATGGCTGGATCCATGGAAGTAATTCTAATTTCTGTCTTTTTTATTATTATAACATTCAAATTTGAACAACAATTTAAAATAAGTACAATCAGAGCTACAAAAATACTTCATACATATGCTCAGGAAACTATGGACTATAATGTATTCCCATGATATCTTAAATTATTTTTTTAATGGGCTTGGTTGATTATGGTTACAGTTTGTCATTGATAACGAGTCATTGCAGCAAGCGGCGTCACTGGGAACTCTTAAAGCAACACCTTGACGAAGAGAAAATTCAGAATTTGCACATTGATCTTTACAATTTTTTCCACAGTTACTCTGGACTCACAATGCATCGCTTGTTAAAGCTAGGTTCTCATGAGAATAATGACAAAATTAAGTTCAACAAAAAGATAATCATAACTCGTCTTGATTTTATGGATCGATATATAATATATTGAAGGTAAATATATGGTAAACAAAATTTTCAGCACTGTTCTGTCTTCTTTTTGGTTATGCAACTTACATACGACATAAAGTGATGTCAGAGTCAAGACGCACCAAATGTCATGTGCAGTTTGACGAGCCCGACCTAAATTAAACATCAAATAAATATCGGTGCTCGACCTAACAGTCGTGCCATCAACATATTAAGCCCCTGAAATATATACATGTGTATTTCGAAATAATGATGATGATGCGCCGTTTAGGAAAGCGCAGATACCCTTTCAGTGTATTGTTGAGAAACTGTATTTAGACCCATCTTTTCAAACCACACATGACATTTGGTGCGTCTAGACACTGGCATCACATGACATGATATGCAAGTTACATTTGCATAAGACCAAACAGAAGCCTGACCAGTGCTGATTTTAATGAAGAACATTTTACTATTTATCTGTATATCCATTAAATCAAGGTGATTACTCAGGTGAGCTATTGCTTTCCGTTTTCGTCCGTCGTTGTGCGTCGTGTGTTGATATTTGAACATTTTCAGCTTCTTCTCTGAAACACTGAACCAAATTTTGTATACAGTATCTATAGATGAAGGGGAACAAAAATTTTGAATTTTATGGTCCCTGCCCTCCTGGGGCCTGAGGGATTGGGGCCAAAACCACTAAAATTAATGAAATCTTTAAAAATCTTCTTCTTTACTCCCGGACATCAAGCAGTCAAACTGTTGGCATGAATGTAATAAGCATTGAGTCCTCTACCAAAATTGTGAAATTCATGGCCCCAGGGCAGGGGTTCTAGTGTTAGGGCAGGGCTATGTACATTATATAGTAAAAATACATTAACTCTTTGAAAATCTTTTCCTCTGCTCCTGGGTATTAAATAAACTAAGTAAGTACATAGTTATGATGAACAAAAATGCCTCTTCCAAAATTATGAATTTTATGGCCCCAGGGTCAGGAGTTTTGGTTTTAGGACGGGGCTCTATTGATTATATGGTGAAAATACATTAAATCTTTGAAAAAGGCACAGATAACAAAATGCTAATTCTTGAATACCGCTAATACTGGTAAATCATGCATAAAACATGTACAATATATGGCTTGGAAGAGTGTTTGTGCTTAATGTTGAATATGCCAATTTATGTATACATACAGTAAGTATTTGTTTTGATATACCAGGTAAATACAATTATTTACATTTTACACAATTTTTTACAGTGACCAAAACATGGATCCAGCCTTGCTAAAAGAGAGAAAGGCTTTTTTAGACCGAGCTAAGGCCCAACCAGTGGTAGAAAAAAGAAAGAAAGGCAAAGATGTGTCAGAGGACAGAGCTGCCAAAAAGCAGAAGTCAAGTTCTTCATTCAAGCCAAAGAGTGAGTCCAGTTCAGCTCCATTTGACTATAAAAGTTCCTCTGGGAGTTCTCAGTTCAAGTTTGCTATTTTGGCAAAAATTGTGAAATACATGAAATCCCGACATTTAAATGGAGACACACATCCCTTGACAATTGATGAGATTCTTGATGAAACAAATCAGTTGGATGTGGGCAGCAAAATTAAACATTGGCTTATCACTGAAGCACTGAACAACAATCCTAAAATCAAAGTGGTGGAAAATGGACAAAAGTATGCCTTTAAGCCTAAGTTTGACATTCGAGACAAAACAAGTCTGATGAAGTTACTGAAGTATCAAGATCTGCATGGCTTGGGTGGCGTGCTGAAAGAAGACGTAGAAGAGTCACTCCCTAATGCTGAGAAAGCTCTAAAAAATTTGGGGGAGCACATCATCACAATAGTGAGACCAAACGATAAAAAGGAGATTCTGTTTTATAATGACAAGTATTGCAGATACAAAGTGGATGAGGAATTTCAAAAGCTTTGGAGAGGAGTTTCAGTAGATGGACTTGATGACAAGAAAATAGAAGAGTATTTGGAAAAGCAGGGAATTTCCTCCATGCAGGATGTTGGATTGAAAAAGGCAGCTCAAATTAAACGTAAGAAAGGAGGTGGAAAAAGAAAAACATTCAAGAAGCACAATGAGCATTTGGATGGGGTACTGGAGGATTATTCAGAGACTGTCAAATAAGGTCATGGATATCACAACGGATAAAATTTATCAGGAAATCATAAAATTTTGTCATATTGAGTACTTGTATTTCATTTTCTTGAATACACTCTACAGTAAACTGTAAAAAAAAAAAAATGGAATGTGAGGGAGCAGCAAAATCATTTTGTTTTAAATGAAATTCATTATAAGTTATGACATTCAAGAGTAAGAACTTCTTGGTAAAAAAAAATTTGAGCAAGTTTTTGTTATATGCATAAACAATTTGTGTTCTAATTTCAATATAATTGGCACACTGACTACACTAAGATACATAATTCTGTATATCGGTTTTTGACGATGAACGGTGTTGCCGTGGTTTAAAAATAGAAATTTCTGTGAAATTCTTTCAAAATGCTACTTCCTACAGTTTTGGTCTGATTTCAGTATAACTTGGCACACAAGTAGAATACACTAAGATACATAATTCTGTGTATCGGTTTTTGATTTCGATGAACGGTGTTGCCGTGGTTACTAAAAATAGAAATTTCTGTGAAATTCTTTCAAAATGCTACTCCTCCTACAGTTTTGGTCTGATTTCAGTATAACTTGGCACACAAGTAGACTACACTAAGATACATAATTCTGTGTATCGGTTTTTGATTTTGATGAATGGTGTTGCCGTGGTTACTAAAAATAGAAATTTCTGTGAAATTCTTTCAAAATGCTACTCCTCCTACAGTTTTGGTCTGATTTCAGTATAACTTGGCACACAAGTAGAATACACTAAGATACATAATTCTGTGTATCGGTTTTTGATTTTGATGAACGGTGTTGCCGTGGTTACTAAAAATAGAAATTTCTGTGAAATTGTTTCAAAATGCTACTCCTCCTACAATTTTGGTCTAATTTCAATATAACTTGGCACACAAGTAGAATACACTAAGATACATAATTCTGTGTATCAAATTTTAAATTTTGATGAACTGTGTTGCCGTGGTTACTAAAAATAGAAATTTCTGTAAAATTGTTTCAAAATGCTACTCCTCCTACAGTTTTGGTCTGATTTCAATATAACTTGGCACACAAGTAGACTACACTTAGAACATAAAGAGACTTTATCAACGATCATTATTCTATTTATTGCTGTTATAAAGTTTCAAATCCCAGCTGCTTAAGTACTTTTCTCTTCCTTTGCTATAAGTTCAAACCAGTAGAGCTTCAGTCTCGACAGAGACTTCTGGTGTTATATGCATATTTGTGTTCACTATAATTCTGTTGAACTGTATCACAGATTTAATTGTCATTTTTAGCTCTACTGGTCAGAGACCAGAAGAGCTTATGCGATAGTAATGCGTCCGGCGTCCGTCCGTCTGTCCGTCTGTCTGTTGCTACTCCTCCTACAGTTTTGGTCTAATTTAAATATAACTTGGCACACAAGTAGACTACACGAAGATACACAATTCTGTATATCAGTTTTTGATTTCGTTGAACGGTGTTGCCGTGGTTACTAAAAATAGAAATTTCTTTGAAATTCTTTCAAAATGCTACTCCTCCTACAGTTTTGGTCTGATTTCAGTATAACTTGGCACAAAAGTAGAATACACTAAGATACATAATTCTATGTATTGGTTTTTGATTTCGATGAACGGTGTTGCCGTGGTTACTAAAAATAGAAATTTCTGTGAAATTCTTTCAAAATGCTACTCCTCCTACAGTTTTGGTCTGATTTCAGTATAACTTGGCACACAAGTAGAATACAATAAGATACATAATTCTGTGTATCGGTTTTTGATTTCGATGAACGATGTTGCCATGGTTACTAAAAATAGAAATTTCTGTGAAATTCTTTCAAAATGCTACTCCTCCTACAGTTTTGGTCTGATTTCAGTATAACTTGGCACACAAGTAGAATACACTAAGATACATAATTCTATGTATCGGTTTTTGATTTCGATGAACAGTGTTGCTGTGGTAACTAAAAATATAAATTTCTGTGAAGTACATTCAAAATACTACTCCTCTTACAGTTTTGGTCTGATTTCAGTATAACTTGGCACACAAGTAGACTACACTAAGATACATAAATCTGTGTATCGGTTTTTGATTTCGATGAACGGTGTTGCCGTGGTTACTAAAAATAGAAATATCTGTAAAATTGTTTCAAAATGCTACGCCTCCTACAGTTTTGGTCTGATTTCAATATAACTTGGCACACAAGTAGAATACACTAAGAACATAAAGAGACTTTATCAACACAATCATTATTCTATTTATTGCTGTTGTAAAGTTTCAAATCCCAGCTGCTTAAGTACTTTTCTCTTCCTTTGCTATAAGTTCAAACCAGTAGAGCTTCAGTCTCGACAGAGACTTCTGGTTTACATCATTCTGAAAGTTTGTCACTGACTGTCAGGTGAATTCTCTTACATGAAATAAATGAATGTTTACATGAATTTTGCATATTAAATGATATTATATATTGAATTATATACTGAAGGAAAGGATGAGCCCAGTGTTGCAATGTAATGATGTTAGGAGGTAAAAAAAATTGTAATTAGAAAGGTCTTGTCACAGGTAACAAGCTGGAGACAAAAAGTGGTGGGGGTAGCTGCAGATCTGTAGCGTTATGGTTTTATATAGTAGTCTTGTTATGGTCAAGACTACTATATAAAACCATAACGCTACAGATCTGCAGCTAGGTGGGGGGGGGGGTGATTTGTTGCACAAAACTGAATGTATAGATTGCTTTTGAATTAATATGACACATAATGTCTTTGCTGTTCTTTAGAAAAGATGAAAATACACTGTATATTCTTTATTTAACTATTATTTCCTGCTATTGTCCCTTTATTCTTCAGGGTCATGATTTTCACAAATTTGAATCTGCTTTACCTGAGGATGCTTTTCTTAGGTCACCCAAGCCCATTGGTTTTTGTCTGTGATCATCAACATTTGAACATTTTCAACTTCTTTTCTGTAACCGCTGAACCAGTTTTAATATGTTGCATTAATAGGTGAAGAGGAACATTAATAGTGAACTTCATGGTTTTTGCCCCGTGAGGGGTGGGGCAGTAACCACTATTAGTTAATGCAATCTTTAAAAATAGTATTCTTTACTCCTGAACTTCATGCAGTTAAACTGTTGGAATGATTTTAAAAAGCATTAAGCTCTCTACCAAATTTGTGAAATTCAGGGGTTCTGGTGTTAGGGCGAGGCTTTATTGATTATATAGTGAAAATGCATTAAATTTTTGTAAATCTTCTCTGTTCCTATGTATGCAAACAAACTAAATGCATACCTGGTAGTTATGATGGTTGCCTACATCCAAAATTGTGAATTCCATAAATGAGAAACGGCTGTCTGACGATCTATTAATCCATGTTTGTCTGCAAAAACTTTAATCTTGTCAATAATTTTTGAAGGGTTGGTGTTACATAAGGCTTTCTAAATGGTTACCAACATACTAAACCTCTTGACTTTGACCTATTCCTGCACAATGTTATCACACATTTTATTTTGTCCTTGATGTTCATTTGACAAACTTATTGTTGGTGCTAAGATTTTCAACAATTATATTTGCATCCCTTTGGACTACACCTTCTTTGGGTATTAGTATTTTGACCTCCTGACCTTGACTTTTGTACATTTGTAAAAACATTAACCCAGGCTCAAAACTTAAGACGAGCTCTCTTTTGACCTCTGTCTCACTTTTTCCAAAGGAATTTTTAGTGGAAAAGTGAGACTGAGATCAAAAGTGAGCTTGTCTTAGTTTTATGTCTCCCAGGCCTGATTTTAACTTTTAAATGGTTCATATTAATTTGTTTATTTTTATCAGCAAAACATATTCTTTGATACCAATGTTTTTTTTTCAGTGTTTTGAAAAAACACATCTTTCTCTTGTTTTGATTGAATAACAAAAAGTTGTATTATTACCGGTATCTATATTATACTATATCCTATTAGGTGTTAAAGTTGTCAGGGGTATGGGTGGGGGTTAATTACCAGTAATGCAGACTCTTCAGCTTCTTGGCTTGGAACATTTCCTTCTCCAGGTTCCAATCCATTGCAGTACATGTATAGGGTAGGTCAAGGTCATTAAGCGGCATAAAGCCTCCCATGATTTTAATCTTTATCTATAAATTTTACACTTCTCTGTATACATTCTAATTTTATTGTTTCTTGTTTGGGGTTTGGGTCCTTAGTGATAACTCCATATTTATTCAATGTTCTGTAACCAATCAAGATACCATAGACTGATGAAAATTTGACAGTAGTACTTCAAGTACTTCTAGTACTAATATGAAGTCATACAATAATATAATTCTTTTTCTAAGCAATGCAAAAGATACATCAGATTATAAAGATTTTGTTAGTTCTGCTATTGCACTTCTGACAACAATCTTAACTATAATGGCACTTTACCACTCTTCATTTGCAACAAACATCATCTGCATTCCTGTGTAACTGACAACTACTACAAGATTTCAGACATGAAAAGAGCTCAGCATCCAGTATGATTCGAGTATATTTGTATCTATTCGTCTTAATACAAATAAAAAGTAAAACTACAATTAAAAGTTTAATGAAATTAAAAAAGATCAGAATGACATCTACAGTGACATGAAAAAAAATGAACAAAACTGCTGCTTGTCTTAGTCTCCTGATAACAAGATTTAGATTGGTTTGATTTTAAAATGAAGTCCAATCAGTGAGAAAACCAGGCACTTCAGATCCTGTACAAGGTAGTAGAAGGTCCTCAATCCTTCTGGGTCCCTGACAAAGAAAAATATAGGCTTTCAGTTTTATCCTTAATAATGATATTGATCTTCACTTGAAATGAATGAAGAGAACATTTTAATTTTATTTTATCAGGATATTTGCCTGATCATTTCTTTCCATAATGATATAATCTTTTTTATCAATTAAAATTTTCCAAAAGCAGATCAATGAGCATTTTAAATATAATTAATTAATTTGCTTTATAAACTATATTATAACTTATTGATTACTCACTTGCTTTGGTTGACATCCACTAGAGAGCCAATCTTTGATGTAGTGAATGATATATGTTCATCTCCAATGACAATCTCTAGCTCCTGGAAAATAACAAAAATGTGAAAAGGGGGATAACTCTACAAAGGAAATCAATCTGACTTCTAATGGTTAAAGTGAAATAGCACTCCTTTCTATTCAAACACCATAAGAAAATTGTGTCTTATTTTGTTTTCTTATACAATTTAAATCCATCTTCCTGTACAGACCTGTCTACCGACTCTGTCATGTGGAGGCCACAGTGCATCGTCTTCCTGGATAATTTCTGAGTCCTCAATGATTCTCTTTAGCTCTTCCATCACTGACTTGTGAACATAAGCCTACAGTATTGATAAAAACTTGTGTAAACAAAATTCTTAAAATCTGTTTACCCTAGATCATTTCTTTGCTATATTATAAATTCTGTAAGCATCCAACATTTATTGTTAGTTGTTTTTGAAAAAAAAAAAAAAAAAAAAAAAAAAAAAAAAAAAAGAAGGAATTTGCATACAAATTTTCAAGAAAATATAGTTTACATAAATAATTTTTAATTAATATCAAAAATATATTGGGGAAAAATATTTCCCAACAAACATATGTTAACAGAATAATTTTTTTTTAAAGGTTATACAACAATGTACAATGACAAAATGAATAATGAAAATCTAATACCTATGTTCCACTCAAATTTCGTGAGGTGCATGAATAATGTTTAAAATGGCTTATTTGAAATCTAAACAAAATGCATTATTTAAAAAAATGTAAAACTATATGGTTCAGTACCACTAAGAGTGAAGAATCCAAGCATCCTCACCCCTTTAATAATCAAATTTTTTTCTCTCTCCTCTAAAATCTTGACATTTTGTAACCCAGATTTGAACCTTGGAGCTCTAGCATGCCAGTCCATTACTCTACCAACTGAACTAAAGGGATAAACCACTAGCCCAAGCTAGTAGACTGCCATATATCTTACACTGCCCCCCTCAAGAGATACAGATGTCTTCATTCCTTTCGGAGCACCAGTGCTTAAAGGGGCAAAGTTTTACTCACTAAACATTTCCTGTCCCAATGTAGGTGCGTAATGTAACAGAGACAAGATTGTGGCTCTGAATGAGTGCTCTACTGAAGAGCTAAATGGTTAATCCACTAGTCCAAGCTATTATTATGCCATATATCTAACACTATCACAATCTTTTATACAATTTTGCTTAAACAAATAAACATTGGAATGTCTCATGTGTTTTTTGATATTCTCTTTGAGGTTAAAAGAACATAAAAGAAAAGATAGTTATACACACTGACCTCCTTTCTGATCATTGTATCGTTCTTGTAATTGGAGTTATTCGCATATCGCAGTTTTCCTGTAAGAAAATATAATATATTACATACTGTAATAAAAATAAGGTATCTAAAACATGTGAATAAAAAAGAACTTGAGCAGATAGAGTCAAAAATTTCTACTTTGTAAAGTCCAATGAGGTCTAGAAGATAATTGATCATGTACCTATTTTATAGTTATACGCCTGAGTATTGCAAGCTACCTAACGATAAGATAAATATCACGATATGGTCATGCGATACAACATGTATCATGATACAACTGTAACAGTTAAACTGCCTGATATCTTAACATATTGCTACCCTCCAAAGTTATAGAAAATATAAAAAGAATATCTAATTATTATTCTTGCTTCCTTAGGCCAACATTTTTTTTTATTTTCTGTTTTATGGGAGTATTTTTTTTTGAGTCAGGGGGTTGAAATAAAAATAAAAGCTTGAAATTCAAGCAACAGTCAGAAAAATAAAATTGATTTGAAAAAATATAATAAAATAATTATTTTTAATTGAGAATGGAATTTTTTCTATGGCCTTAATTTGTTGAAAAAATTAGGGCTGGACGATATATCGAGATATCGATATATCGTGATACATGTGAGGATGATACGCATATCGATACATACGAAGAAATATCGAAATATCGCCCCCAAAATTCTTTGTTTATTTAACATTTGGGGTTTAATATATAAAGTAAATAAGATAAATATAAATATAAATGTGAAATAAATAATAATTTACACCACTTGAGTAAAATATTTTTGTTTTACAACTTATAAACAACTATTTTGAATAAATTATTCTTATTTGCAAAGAAATGATTTGTTTATTTCAATGCAAAAACAGATTTTATAAGCAATTAAACATATCGTGATACATATCGTATCGTGGATCAAATATCGTGATACGTATCAATATAGAAAAAGTTGTATCGTCCCAGCCCTAGAAAAAATGGTGTTGTTTAAAAAACTCATGCATAAAAAACACAGAATTGGTAATGCAATCAATGAACTTAATTCAATTTTAACTTTTTCCTCTTAGATATTTCGTACTACTATTTCCTATAGAAATGAACCATAGTATGAAGTATTTGAAGCAGACTATTGCTGGAACTTTTCAGCATCAGAGGTTTAAACGAATGGGATATTTCTATGAAAAATCAAAACCTTATATTTTGTTGGATTTAAACCTTTTAAAGGTAAGAAACAAAAGTTTTATAGTGATAGAGACTAAAAAGGATGTACAAGGGAAAAAGTTGAAGCCTGCGGCCAATTCATTTGACAGCCCGTATTGATTGAAACAAGTGGTCGAAGTCAGGGCAAAAAACCCGAATCATGTTGTGTGACACTGGGCTGAGATGTCATGGGGACACCAGACCAAAACTTTTGGTCCCTACGACATCTCGCTGAGATTAGTCACACTCCTCAAAAACTTTTCAGAATAATATATTTTTATTGTTATTATTATTTTATATTAAACAAATTACAAAAGCTGAGCTTATCAAAGCTATGAATATAGCTGAGCCTATTTCAAGCTATACGGCTAGCCTAATCAAAGGGTTGTGTTGGACCTGCTGCAGATATATACCGGTGTGCACGCGCACGTGCTAAACCTATCAAGGACTGGTATAAAGCAAAAACTATACGATGAAAAGGCATCAATATAAGTAATTATGAAGGATACCATCTGGACGAAACTCAAACTCCAAGAATTCATGCCCAAACTTCCCTTTGTGACCAACATAATAACGCAAGTAAAAATCTTTGGACGCCGCCATTTTTGTAAGAATGTAAACACCAGAAAAGAAAACATTTTATTTCCGAATATTAATATATGTGTATGCATTCATGGCTCAAGAAATGAAATAAGAAATTTGTCTCAAAGAAAGAAAGATTCTATTTTTTCTTTGCCTTCTCAAATGCTTTAAATATTTCTAAGAGATTCTGTTTTAAATTTATTCCGGAAAATAACGTTAGGTTTCTTTATTATGGGGCGAAAATAATCCCGGTTTGATTCATATGTTTGGATTCGTTGATCTGACGGTCAGTTGATAACATGTTGCCAGAGAAGCTGGTCTTTGAAACGCCATGCAAGCAAGGTGCTTTGCGAGCTGTTAGATTCAATTGTAAGAACACATTTATCCTTGTTCACTTGAGCGTAGCTGTATACTCGCTTTAGATAGGCTCGCTTGGTTTTTAAAAGAATTATTGGGAGTTTGGAATTTTTTCACATGTCAGAGTTCTTGAATTTTTTTTTCCGTTGTCAGTCATTTGGACCATAGACATATAAAACCCTTACAAAAAGTTGCGAATATCTGGTTTTATATGTCTCTGTTTGGACTGACTGCAATGTGAAGTTTGTCAGTCCAGACAGATTTCTATCAGTCCAAAAAAAATGAATAAAAAGTTGAAAACTTTGTGCAATACATTGTGCACCATGTTTCAATACACACTTCATGCTGATTTGATTGTCAATTTTCTTTGAACTACTGTAGACGTAGCTGCAGAAAACTGTAACTCTCTGCTTGAGAAAATTTGGGCAGATATTAAAGCAGAGGGCTACAGACAAAGATTGCCCATGACCCAAGGGTTTGTCATGACTTTGACCCAAGGTCATTTGGGGAAGTTCAAGATCCCTGGAAGAAAAATTTCATAATTCGTGTCTGGTCCATATCTTTCTTATGGATAAACTTGGTAGGTTCTCATTTCACACAAAGATTGCCCAAGACCCAAGGGTGTGTCATGACCTTGACCCAAGGTCATTTGGGGAACTTCAAGGTCACTGGAAGAAAAATTTCATAATTCATGTTTGATACATATTTGTATTATGGAAAAACTTACTTCTGAAAAACCCAGCGTGGGGTATTTTGTTCCGTTTGGACAGTTCTAGTTCTATTAAAGAGGTAAAGTACGGGAAAAAGAAAGTTGAAAGTGATTATGACATCATAATGGATCTCGCACAAAAAAGTTTGTCTAAAGTCATTTATATACTAGATCTTGAAATTGACCTTAAGTCACAAGTTACTACCAGGTAGTTGATGGCTCGTTAATACTATCCCTCAACCTCTCTACTAAGAACTTAAGGATTAATGAATGCAGATAAGAAATTGACTAAATGAAGAAGCAAACTATGTCCCACTTCGATTGAAGTTTAAGGTTTGATACAATATTAAAGACATTATATTTAAGATGCACAGATATTATTTTGCTTTGGAAATGTGATTAATATACCAATTCTGTTGACTTAATGCATATTTATTATCTATGTCCCCATAATCAAAGATTCAGGGGTACATTTATGTAGTTTTTGCCCTGTCCGTCTCCCTGTCTGTTTGTCCACAAAAACTTTAACCTTGCCCATAACTTTTGATTGGGTGAAGCTATGGCTTTCATATTTTAAATATGTATCGTGACAAGGCCTTTCTTTGGGTACCAACATATTTGACCCCTTGACTTTGGAGTTTGACACACTTTTGTAAGAATTTATGAAACTGTAATCTTGATCTTTTCTTTTGAGAAGTTGGTGCAAGGACTCTCTTACTTCATATGTATATTGATTGTGGAAAGACCTTTACTGAGAAATAAATTTTATTTATAAAAATATATATTTTTGACCTTAAACTTTGGGTTTAATCCACATTTAAAATAGTTTAATCTTGGTCATATCCATCGTCGGAAACCCACGGGTGATCTCGTCTTTACATCACCCGTGAGCAAACTCGCTGAAATATCGCCGTAAAATATGCTACTTTGTTGTTTTTATCAACCAATCAGAAAGTTGGAACTCTTCAATTTTGAAAATTACGTTTATTACTTTGCTATTTATGGTAAATATTTTGACGCTCGTTAAAACATGCGAAGTTTGATTTAAAACAATAAAAGTCAATTCGTACAGGTCAATGACATTAATACCAAGGCCTTCATATTGCACAGGACTATTCCTTGTGGTAAAGGCCTCATTTGGATACCAACAATTTTGGCCTTGACCTTTGAGTCTGACCAACTTTTGAAAAACTTTAACCTGGCCAATACTTTTAAATAGTTAGTGCTAAAGCTGTCATATTTTACAGGTATATTATATACATTGAGACAAGTCATTTATTTTGGTAACAATAGTTTTGATCTCTTGGCCTTGGAGTTTGATTTGCATTTTAGAAACTGTAAATTTGACGAAAGCTACCATATAGGGGCATCAGTGTTTCACAAACACACCTTGTTTTTTAATAGAATTGTTGGATGTCACTGCCTTCAGTTTCAAGGATAGAAAGTTTTCATTATTTTTTTAATACATGTATGTGACAAAAATTAGTAATGTTCACACAAATGAAAACAAGAATTACACTGAATTTCTCACCCTTGTTTTTCTTTAGGTGATGGAAACTACTGTTTGACATGTGGGAGTGACAAATCAGTAAAGTTGTGGAATCCCCACAGGAATCTACTGTTAAAAACTTACCAAGTACATGCTTATGAGGTTCTTGACGCCCAGGCTTCCAGTGATAACAGCCAGATCTGTTCCTGTGGCATGGACAAATATGTGTGTGTTACAGACGTGGCCACTGGAAAGTCACTCAGAAAGTACAGAGGACATGCAAGTACTGTTAATTGTGTAAAATATAATGAAGAATCCTCTGTGATATTGTCTGGATCAACAGACAACTCTGTCAGGATTTGGGACTGTAAAAGCAGAAAACTGGAACCCCTTCAGGTAATGTGACATAGTTGATGTACAACAATTCTAAATTCTTATTCAAATGGGTATCAACAACTTCATAAATGCATGTATCTGCTTTTATTTCTTTTTCCAAGTTGTAACATGTAGATTATTCATAGGAATCCGTAATAAAAATATATGTGGACCATATTCTCTAATACTTGAATTCAGACTTACCGGTAATTGTATTGTTATTAATGAATTGTTATGATGCATTTGCACCAAAAATTCCTAAGGGGATCTGACTTAAATGTTAAACTATGCTTTCTTACCCAGATTTTGGATGAAGCCAAGGACAGTGTGACCTCTATACAAGTGTCTGACCACGAGATTCTGACAGGCTCTGCTGATGGTTACTTCAGACGGTACGACCTCAGGACGGGAAAAATGCATGCGGACTTCTTAGGAAGTAAGGCTTTCTGAATTCATAAATATTTTGGTGAAAATTATTTAATACTAATTTTTGTATTCATTTGAATTATTATGAATCACAAATTTTTCAGAAACATATTTTAGAGTAAATTACACATTACCGATATATGGGCAGCCCAATTTTTCAATCACCTATTTTAAACAATTTAATAGAAGCTGTTTCTTCGGTGAGCTTTACAAAGGATGGACAGTGTGTTCTAGCAAGCACCTTGGATGACACCATAAAACTGATGGATAAAGAGACAGGGGAAATGTTAAATGAGTAAGTGGAGAGGCTTTCTCCTTATAGTAAGGAATAAAGTGATGTAAAATTAACTTTACTGAAAATGTTGCCCTTATTTTCATTCTTTTTACACAATTGTTTACACAATGAATTTTCAATAATTTCAAAATTGTAAATGCATATAAGATGCAGATAAACAGCTTTTATCTGAATGGCTTGGCAAAATGTTAACATTGAATTCCTGACAAGCAAAACACTAACATCTCAACTTATACTGTATGAACTGAAAATTTGAAACTTGTATGAAAGCTTAGTTATGCTGTATAGGTGGTTGAAATTTACTCAATAAGTTATTCTGTGCAACTCGCATGGATGAAAGACCATAATTTGAATTGGAAATAATAATTTCAATATGGATAAAGTTATTATTTAGGTTTTGGAATCTGTCACCGAGTTTTGTTTTAGGTTTACAGGCCACAAAAATCACAACTATAAGATAGACAGCACACTGAATTGTCAGGACACTCATGTTATAAGTGGATCAGAAGACGGCAAGGTGTACTACTGGGACCTAGTGGAGGTAGCTTTAATAATGATAAATATGGAAAATCATGAATTATTTAGACCTTATGAGCATGGGGATAAGATGTGGTGCAGCCTTCAATCCCTGATAATGAATAAAGATTGGGATTCTCGTAATTGAATAAAACACTCTTTACAATACATCACTCTTCTGAAAAATTAGATTTGATAATTCACCCTCTTTATCATGTATCTAATTGATATGTGTAGAACTTAGTTTTCATATTGCTACAATTGACATAATAATGATGATATATTAACTGGTGAAGTTGAATTTCAGGCCAAAGTTGTCCATAAACTAGATCATTCTACGACTCGAGCCATCCACTCATTGTCTCATCATCCGGAGGAAGTATGCCTGTTGACAGCGAGCGGGGACAAGATGTTTGTGTGGAAAGACAAGTACGCTCAGAGTCAGGCCACAGGATGACACAATAATCTGACAGGTAACTCAGTGGTACTTATCACTTATTATTGGTGAATTATGCCAAAAATTATATTCAAATTCCTTATAAAAAGATCTTTTTTACCTTGTTTACTAATATCTATGTTTCTTCAGAATTATTAGACATTTGTTCAACATATGTCAAAAATTGATGATAACAATTGAGTTTTTTTTTTCCAGCAATTCCTAACAAGCCAAACAGGGAGACAGACTTCTAGCCAGTCTCTGATGATTCGATGAACTGTACCTGAAGTACAGGGTATATGACAGTTCAAAATAATTAGTAACTTTGGTGCAACCAGATATTATTTGTAAACTTGGGATCTTTTTGCATAGATGAACTTTTCAGTTTGATGGAAAATATAAAAATCCAATACCTTGTGTTTAAAAAGAGTTGCTCCTCTTACAATGAAAACTGCTGGATTAAAATTAAAAAAAGTACTTTGTAACATTATGGACGTAGTTATTTTTATGCCCCCTTAAATGAACTTTAGGGGGTATATAGTTTTTGCCCTGTCCATCCATCTCTCTGTCTGTCTGTCTATCTGTCTGTCTGTTTGTCCACAGAGGCTTTAACCTTACCCATAACTTTTGAGTGGATGGTACTATAGCTTTTATATTTCACAAGTGTATTTCTTGTGACAAGATCTTTCTTTGGGTAAGACCAAATTTGTCCTCTTGACCTTGACCTTGGAGTTTGATCTACCAGGTACTTTTACAAAAAAATACCACCTTTAACCTTGCCCATAACCTTCGAACAGTTTGAGCTAGTGCTTTCATACTTCAAATGTGTATTCATTATGATACGACCTTTCAGTGGGTAATATGTTGACGGTGCGACCATTTGAGCGAGCGCAGATACTCATCCAGTTTTCATTTACATCGGGCTCGTCAAACCGCACGTGCCATTTGGTGCATCTAAGACTCTGAAGTCACATGACGTCGTATGCATTTTGCTTTATCAAACTGAAGCCTGAACAGGGCTGATTTTAATAAAGAACCATTTTTATTGACTATTTTTCTGCAACAAATTCACTAAATCAAGGCACGTTTATTATTCGTTTCACTTTTGTTGTAATTCTCACGAGAATGTTGCTTTAGCTTTTGTGTACAAAGCAATGCATTGTGGATCCAAATTACTGCGGAAAAATCTATCAAATGAATATGCAGTAGTCCTTGCTTTAAGAGCTTGCTTGCAGTGATGAGCATCCCTTCGTGTTATAAATTGCGCTCGCTATAAATATTTTCTTACTTTTTGACCTTGACTTAGAGTTTGACCCTTGGCCATAACTTTTGAACAGTTAGATCGTTCAATTTGTTATACTAGCCACTGAGGTAACCATAACACTGATTTTCTTATGAATATACATTTTGTTAAAGCCTCTTTTAATTTTAATTCAGAATTTCAATATTTTAAATATTTTTCCCCATATATTTCTAGCATGCATGTTTAAAATTGGTTGCTCAAAGAGGAAAATTCTACAGTACAGTCTACTTTGACCTACAAGATGGTGGCAAAGGGGAATAACTCTGATTTACCACAAATTCACTGTACCTTTAAACAGATAATAGCAGGCCATAAACTTTTTGCTTTACTATAATAAACACTCTACTTTTAAGCAAAATTGAAAAAAATGTGTCTGATGGGGTACAGTTGTTTATATACTGAAAATTCTATATTCTTAGACATTTCTTATTGCTGAATACAAGATTGCAATTGAATTGTTAAATGCAATGGAAGATTTGCACTCCAGTCTCAGCATGGGCAAAGCTGATCTTAATTAATTTTGAAAATGTACCATTTATTTTACTTCTAAACATTTAGGAGACAAACTTTATGAAAATAAAGATTTCTACAAAATTTATGTACCTAATTGAGAAACCTGTGATATTTGAATCACAGAGTTCAATGGTTATTTGATAATACTAAGGTGACCTTTTGCTAAAATCTGTTTAATTTGAATCAAACTTGGCAGTAAGTATCCTTGGTGTAGGTTAAGGGACTTTGAGGTTGTTCAAGTGAAGGGCAATACCCCATTCCATGAGGAAATAATCAAGAAAAGGAATAAGGGAGTGGGGTTTTTAGAGTTATGAAAGAGCCACCCAGGGCCAAGATATTTAAAAAAAAATCATTTAAGAAAGCTGGAAAATTCACATCCCCTTAGTCTACCAGTTAGGCTCCAAGGTGGGACTAAGTTGGTCATACAGTGTATATTGAAAATACATAAAAAATAAAATGATAATCTTCATGTCTACCTGTTAACTTTTAGCCCCCCCCCCCAAAAAAAAAGATTTAGATGATAATGACCCATTAACAAAATTCATCCCCCTAGCTAATGGGTCAGGCCCATGGTAGAGGCTAAGTGGACCATATGTTAAGAATTCAATACAGCTTTTAAAACCATCTTCTCTGAAGGAAATTTAGTGGGCATCCTGATTTTATGATTATCAGTACAGAAATTTGAAAATTAATGATTGTCGGCTACAGTAGTCGGACCATATAGAGTTTGACTCATATCTTGCATGTACATGTACATGTACATAAACTTTGAAACATGTACATGTACATGTACATGTACATAAACTTTGAAAAATCTTCATATCTCAAAGGATATCAGGATTTTTTTCCTGCCCCCTTTACCCTCTTGGTCTGGGGTTCAGCCCCAAGGATGATGGTTATATCAAGCTTTATCATAGCATAGTGCTGAGAAAATGTCTGGGTTTTTATACGCCCGTCTTAAGACGGGACGTATTATGTTATAGGCTTCGTGTCCGTCCGTCCGTCTGTCCGTCTGTCCGTCTGTCCATTCGTGTCCGGCTCATAACTTCAATACTATTAGGCCTAGGATTATCAAACTTTGTCAACTGATACTTCTTGGGTAGACGGTGTGTCGCGCACCAAAATTAGGTCGCTCTGACCTTTGATAAAGATGCTATGGCCAAATATGGAAAAATCCTGTCCGGCTCATAACTAGAAAACTATTAGACCTAGAGCTATCAAACTTGGCAAAAGTATACATCTTAGGTAGAAGGTGTGTGACCTATTTCAAGGTCACTGTGACCTTTAATTTTAGTGAAATTTTTTAAAAATTTAAGTTTTTTAAATTTTAAATTTCCTAATCCTAAAAATGTAAAAAATAGAGTTGTATCCTTATTAAAAAGTATTAAATCAAGTAAAAACTTATTTTTTCATCATATACTTTTCAGCAATCTTAAACAAATTTCAGTGTTAATGAGAGGAATTCAGTTTGTCCCATGGGCATAATTATCAAGCACTGGTCAGGAAGAATTTTGATAGCAGAAAGTTGCATGTCAAATTAGAGAGAAATTAATGAGTTTAGTGTGAGGAGGTTTGGTGTTATCCCTTGGGTATTGGGCAAATGGACAGCCAGCCTAGCTGTTAGATTAAAAATAGCTCTTGGTGGCTAGCTATCTAAGTTTTAAAATGAATTTGATAAAAAGTAATTAAAACTTATTTGATATTGCATAATAAACTAATAATCTGATATTATATAATATTAATTAATTAAAAACTAATTTTATGGGGTGGGGTTGAATCAGCATGCCTACTTGACCATATGAATTAAATATAAAACCTGTCTGGCATTAAATCTAAAAAGAAATCATGGAGTATTTTATAAAAGTGTTTTAGGACAAAAAGTGCAGATCCATTAATATTTAGGGAGTAATGAGTAGACAAGCATCCTGTCAAAGATTAATTAATGAGTTCAATGTAGGAAGGCTATCTGATCAAGCGCTGCCTTATCTGTCTTTGGGGATTAGACAGAACTGCTGGTCATAGCAAATGTCATTTGATGGCCAGCCTTTCTTTTCAAAATTAATTTGGCAAAGATTAAGTTGTTAAGACTAATTTGATATTGTTTATTATGATGGCCGGCATTTGACAAAGTTTAACACAAACAGTATAGAAATCTGTCAGTTATGTAATATTTGTTATAATTATGCCTACAGCACAGGGGATGGATAAAGAAATATTTCTTTTAAAAATGGAAAAATCATGGAAATCTTAGAATCAAGGTTGAAGTGATTTTCTTGCAGTCTAAACTGTTAAAGATAATTGTGTAATATTTTGACGGGCGTATCATGCTGTGGCGTGGCACTTTATTTACTATCAGGGGGCTCTCTGTTATGTTTTATATGTGTGTAATCATGACTTCTTTGATATTTTTACCTGAGTGAATAAAATCAAATAAGTTGGTCCTATTGAGACATGAATATGAAGCACACAAATTGTTTGTTCGGTTTTGATGAGCAACTAGCCCTACCAAAATTTATAAAATTCATTCCTGTCCTCTGTGGCACAGTAGTTAGAGTGTCTGCTCTAGAGTAAATGTGAAGTAAGGAGTTCAAATCCAACTTTGGGACGTGGAAATTGGTCTTTCAAATGAGACCATATAAATGGAGGTCTCGTGTCGCAGTAGGTGCTGGCACAAAAAAGAACCCTCCCTGCTCAGTGGCCCTTAGTGGTGGCGTCTCCATACGAGTGAAATATTCTAGAGACAGATTTTAAACAACATACAAACAAACAAAAATTCATTCCCCGGGGACCAAAGATTAGGCCCTGGAATAGGAACAGGGAAAATTATTAGTTTACCTGAACTGAATTAGGGCTCAAATAAGCTTTCATGATAAATATGTCTTGTTCATCTTTTTGAAGTTGTCGTTTTTGTTGTTAACTTGTCATAATTGTATCCCACTATCATGAAAGTGAGGGGACATTGTAATTCGTCTTTCAGTTTGTCCATCTTTCAAGAAAACTTTAACCTTGGTCATAACTTTTGAATGAGAAGAGATAGGGCTTTCATATTTCACATGTTCATTCCCTGTGATAAGACCTTTCCAATATTTACATTGTACTATGGTTTTTGACCCCTTGACCTTGAAGTACGACCTACTTTAAAAAAAATTAACATTCCTTTTAATTGGTCACAAATTTTGAAAGAGAAAAGAGAGTGCTCTCATTTTACACATGTACATATGTACATGCAGTGCATATTAACTGTGAGAAGACCTTTATAAATATACTATGATTTTTTTTACTGCCATGACCTTGACCTTGAAGTTTGACCTACTTTTCAAAAAATGTTATCTTTCCTTATATCTTTTGATTGAGAAGGATAGGACTTTCATATTTGACATATGCTTTACCTATATGACAAGATTATTTTGAGAATGTTATGATTTTTGATGCCTGACCTTGAAATCAGGTTTAGTAACCTAATTTTCAAAAAATTTAATTTTGGTGTTTACATTTGATTGATATATATGGTGTGTTCATATTTGTCATAATATGCCCTAAATAATGGCATCCCTTCCACTATTGACATTGAAAGCATGGGACCACAATTCATTGAATTTGCATGTTTCATCTTGTACCAATTGCAGCCAAACTTGATGTAGAATACATTAAATCTCTTGGACTAATGATACATTATAAGACCGCGGAACATTAACTGGAAAAATTGGAAATATACAGCTTACGTCATTTCTATCTGTTACAATCGAAACATTCAGTGATAGACAACGAAATGGGCGGGTACAATTCGATGCGGACGTTTGGAAAACATCAGATTGAAATAGCAGATCGAAATTCATTTTCAATCCACCTGAGCTGTTTTCAAAGCAAAGAGTGAATGTATGATTCAAAAATCTACTATATTTCAACTCCCAAATACATACTGTTTGAAGTTCACATTAATATGAGTTTTAGCTTATAATTTTAAGAACGCGAAATATCATACAATACAAAGATTATTTTTCAGGAGATATTTGATTCTAGAAAGGGGGGGGTAAAAATTGTCGAGTCAGGTCATAGCTTAACATGACAATACAAGGTATTTTTATTTACCAATCAAGGGCCCCGAGGGGCATTTCAACATACATAAATGAACAATTTAAACATTCTCTCTTTTTTTTATAACAATATAATTTTTTTTTTTTTAAACAGTTATATAGATGACCAAGTTACATAATAATATTGTTCTCAGTGTCTATTTATTTGTAGGATTATAAGAGTGCATGAGTTTTATACTTATTCTCACTGAAAACTGTTGGACAACTTTATTTAAAAATCGTTCAACCCCCCCCCCCCTCCCCACCACCACCAACACAGAGATATACATATATTTATCACACAGAAATGAAATATTTCTCCCTTAAATATTTATTCATTTAAAACACTGGACAAAAAAAAAATTCGAACTGTACCAAAATTGAAATTATTTGTCTTCTGGGTCAATCAGTAATAATGTGCCTTCTAGCGTAGCTGAGGTGGATTGAAAATGAATTTCGATCTGCAATTTCAATCCGATATTTTCCCCGCGTCCGCGTTAAATTGTACCCGCCCATTTCATTGTCTATCATTGAATGTTTTGATTGTAACAGATAGAAATGACGTAAGCTGTATATTTCCAATTTTGCCAGTTAATGTTCCGCGGTCTTAATGTCATTGTCTGAATCTCATGATAGTCAAGTGACCATTCGGTGACTATTGAGGCCATCAGGTTGTCTTAGTATTTATAAAAGGTCAAAATAACATATGACCCCCCCCCCCCCCCCCCCCCCCAAAAGAGAAAAAACCAAACAACCCTGGTTTAAGAATTAATTTGTATGAACACAGAACACAACTATCATCTGCATATCGTATGAGTTCCAAATTATGCATAGAAAAGCTGTAAATTTTGCTCTCATTTCTGAAAGTCTAATAAGGTTTTGCTTTCTGTATATCTTTGGTGGGAAAAGGTGTACATGGTGGAATACATCTACATTCCTGTTATGAGAAAGTCACCTATTATACCGTACTTTGTCATGCGTCTGTGATCAGAGCTGACCTTTGTTTTATAACCATACAAGATCTATTTTACACAGGTAAGAATAACAAGACATGATTAATTACATGGTAGTACTGAGTGAAGGCAGTCCAATGGGGCCCACTTTCCGTTTTATCGAACTTATCAACACCACAAATTAAGTTTGACAGTTGTCTACATCAGAAGACCATGTGCTTTTGTTATGCGCAAACATGTCAAAGCCTGCGTTGCGATTGCGCAGGTCATGCGAAGCATGAAGTTTTGTTATAAGCGGGAATTTACCTGGGTGTTCAGGTGGCCTCGGGCTCAGAATGGTGTGTATCGAAAACTTTCACATTAGAATAATATTTATTTGTATAAAAAAGTGAAAAAGTCACGAAAACTATTCTAAAAAGCTGTGAAGGAGAGATGCGACGAATGTGACAACGATACTATGTTATTTAGCGACTACACCTGGCTGAATCAGGTGTTTTGACGGAAGAGCACCAAACTACCCCGAACTATTGAGTACTACCGTTTGTCATCGGAGGAAAATGCTGCTGCATATACCCCGTTATAAACTCTCACAAAGACCATGAAGGTCCCCCTGTTATGTTTAGTGTTCTTGGCTTTCTGGCTCCTGGAGGTTGATGGAAGAAAAGTCAGTAAAGGTAATATGTTTATTTCATTTTATTCCTACCTTGACGTGAAACTGATAGGTGATTATCAGCCGTAATCTGTAAATACAGTAGTGTAATAACACCTCTGTTGATATTAAGAATTTACCTCGGTGAAATATTGTTAGAGATTTTAAAGACCTGTCAAAGAAGGAAAAAGAAATATTTATCTGTGAAAGCATTATATACACAACCATTTAAACATTAAATTCAGATGTTTTGGTTACTTTGATTTAATTTGCAAAAATACTTCTACGTTCTTTACAAAATTTGCCTGCCAGGTTTAATACAATTTCAACACCTTTATTTCAAGCCAGTTTAATTGTTTTGTCAGATGAAATGGCGACATTAAATTAATTCAGATCAAAAGATTCTATTTACAAGTTTCCTTGCTTGTTATGGCTTAATGTGACTGTGTAAATTAGATTTTGGAAACTTGATTAATTTCAGAAAAATGTCACCTTTTGAAAAGTGTTGCTTTGAAGATTTTGGTTTTCATTAGGACATATAAGCACCTTCGAGGGGATAAACTTTTGAAACTTAGAGTACTGCTAGGAATTTTAATTTTGAACTTGCTAACAAAATGAATTGTCTGCAGAAAGATTCCAACAATTATGAAAATTTGTTTTGTATAATGATAGAAATTTGTGTGGTCCAAAATGACAAGCGTCTTGCAGCTCCCCTCGGATCACAAAGTATCTGTTGTTCCGAAGTTGATTCGTGTTCATGGGGGTATAAAATTTCAAGAAGCCCTCCTTGGTCCTTTGACCAGTAAACCTGTGATTATTATCCACACAATAAAATATGTTGTTTATCAATTCAATGTTTTCTGCAGGTATAAACTTGACTCAATATCAATTCCCAAGGAGAGAAATTTTTTTTAAGAGGTTTTTTTTATTAAAAAAAAAAAATGATTAAGTATTGTTGTATTGGAGTTTTTCCTTACTTCTTTTAAAAAAAAAATTGCATAACATGCTATAATCATGATGAATGTAAGTTATGTACTAGATTTAAGTGGATTGAATTGCATATGATGATATACCTGGAATGGGAAGAAGACAATCTATTACGTGTATCCTACTCAATGTTTAAAAGGATCTATACTTCCTTTGATCTAAAAGATAAAAAAGCAACAAACAAAACAGACCAAGGTCTAGATTGAATTAAACATGATAAGTTCAGTGCCGAATAGGATATGGTCATCCGATATGTACCTGAATGGTGGGAAACTTGGAGAGAGACATAAACAGTGGGATGTAAATAACAAATTCAGTGTTTGTTTATAATACCTATCAAAGCATTGATAAAATATTAGCATTCAGGTGTTAAAAGGTAGATTATTTTAGGGAGGCATTGATAACCTTTGATCTCTTAATAAAAGTAAAAAAAAAAGAACATGCAGTTTCCAAAAATGTTTATACCCCTGGTACTTATTAAGTACTTTATTTATGGAGGACAAAAATTATTACAGTCTTACTTTTAACAATATGTTACCCACAAAATATTCAAGTTACTGCATGATCAGGTATTTTCATATTGATTTCCCTAAAAAAAAAATAAAACTTGTCAGTCTTCACAAAATATCATGCAATAAAATAATCAAACAAACTTCATGATATGAATATCATTTATATTAATAATATGAAGTAGGAGAATTAAATCAGATTAAAAAGTTCATCAAAAGTTAATTACAATTGTGCATATTTATAGAATGTTATTAATTTCTTTATATAGATTACTTATTTTAAAGGATGTTAATTTAGAAATGCCTAAAGGTTTTGATTCTAGTCATGTTGCCACATTTTTTTTTTTAAAGAACACAATGTGCAATTTGTGTACTTTGGAAAAGCATTCTAATTGGTAAATTTTCTTTTGCATTTGACATGAACTTCATAATTATAAATGGCATTGCATAAATGAAAATTGTTATATTTTTCCAAATATGAAATGTGATTTTCATAAAGAAATATCAATTTATTTTTTTTACACAATTAAAATGATGGCCATTGCTTTCATTATGCAAAATTGAATAAAATGTTTTAACCTGACATTTGTCACATTTTGCGCCTATTCTGGAGTAGTTTTTTTTATTTATACGACAGTCTGAACGTTCATATCACTGATGGATTATTCATGGCTGAACAAATCTGCGATCATTATAAAGAAAAAGGAAAATTTTTGTACTATAATACTGTCATTTGGACGCGAATGACAGTCGTATGTCCAATTTATGAGAAATAGTTGTGGTCTCATTACCTGCTCCTTCCTTAGGTATGACCCATGCAGGGCTGGAGTGGCCATCAATAGAGCTTTGACATAATACTATGTATTTATTTCTAGACATAAGAGGTTTTAGTTTTACGGACTGAAGAGGGGCTATTTTTCAGATTTATAGTTTTGTATTTGTAGAAACAGTCTTTAATGTTGAATGAATTGTTACCGTAAATCATTTTTAAAAAGACTTTGGATTGTATATTGTATTTAATTTGTACATATCTCCACCACCTGCAAAGATGGGACCTTGAAGTTCAGAGGATTGCGGGGAGATGTTTTTCTGTCAAAGACAGAACCTATTATTTCTGTATAGTACCATCTGAAATCAAAGGAAAGAATTTTATTGATTGTACAAGATAGATCTCAAGTCGAAGTTGTCAACACCAAATGCAGATTACATTAATTTTTAGTTATGCAAGTTAAATGCAAATCTTATTAATGCAATATTCAAGTATTATTTAAACTCGGAAATAAAAAAAAAAAACCCAACAAACCGAAGATGAAAGTTGATTTGATTTGTGTACTCAGTGCAGAAAAAGGTTAAGAAAAGTTGACATTTAAGATTATTGAACATATAATGGAACAACATTTCACATAGTTGATGCACATGAGGAAATCTGATTTATGAGAAGGCAGAATTACAGGGTTAGTTAAGCGGTGACCAAGTGCAGCCATAGATCATATTTCTAGGTTGTTAAATTGAACGGGGATCTTTGGAAAAATTACTGACCCCACAACAACAGTAAAAACGTGAAGGGTAAAATCAATTTTCTTTGCCTTTTGAAAATAGATCATTTACCTAAGAACTGTTGAAACATACTTGGAATTCTTGATATATGTGATATTTAAAAATCAGGTATAAGCAATTATTAATCCATGAAAAGAGTCTTTTTGTTTCAATGTCACCTAATATATAGCAATAGGAACTGAGACTAGCCAAATATGATTTACCAATAATGGGGCAATGTGTTTATCAGGGTAACCCTTACTCAACTACTGCTTCATAGAGGAATTTGATCAGGAGGGACTGGAAACCGTCCAAATATTAAAATGTATAGATTAAAGCCCTAATCACACGGGACTTTGTTGTCTTTATCCCTGCTTTACATTTTTATGTACACACAAAATGTTTGTGTATGCTTTGAGAGTAGAACGCCAAAATTAAGGTGAACAGATTTTGTTGTACGAGCTCCACTCCAAGGATATGCAGTAATATCTATCACAATTTTATTATTATTTTTAAAAATTCTGTTCTTTGAAAATATCCATGCTATTGAAAAACCTATTTTGTTGAAAAAGTCAACAAATATAATAAGTTAAATTTTGTGATTTTTACAGTTTCCTTTTAAGCTTTGATATTTCTTTGTGATTTTTACAGTTTCCTTTTAAGCTTTGATATTTCCCTGTGAAAGTTCACCATATAATTTCAATTGTATGAATACCCAGTTGAAAGAAAATTTGAAAAATTCTTAAAATTGTTTAACTATTTTATGTTGGAAAAAAAATCATATTTTATGAAATTCAATTTTAAAAACTTAAGGAAACAGAGCTGTTTTCAAAATGTTCTGTCATGTTTAACCGTTGACAGAACATGCAGGGTCTGAAATGACTTTGTTTCTCTGTTTTCGACCTGGAACCTGATAGGACTTGCTATCTTCTTTTAATGTGAAGTTTGATTATTTCTGATAAATGTTTTATTTGGATCCTGAAGAGCGATGACAGAATGTCTGAAAAATGTGAGGAATTTTATTTTTGGTCTAGTATTGTGATGGATTAGTCTACAGGTTTTTAAGATTCTAATTATATACCTTTCTACATGATGTTATGTATGTCGGACCTTTTATTCTTTTCCGCTGTTTATACTTTGTAATACAATATTTTAGACATATCACATAGCCATACCTCTGCTTTTCAAGGGAGGTGTTGGTTGAAAAGTATAAAACGGTATACAACACTTTTTCTCATGAAATTAGAAGGAAATTCTTTAATCAGGACATACTCGCAGTCCATTGATAGATCAAGGTGTTAGGAGTTATTAATTCTGCTGGATTTTAAAGGAAACAGGAGAAAATCTTCTTTTAACACTTAACAAAGCCTCTGCAACTTTTAACTTTGGTTTACTGTATTATGAATTTTATTATCTTCTTAAATTCAAAATTCAAGACAGAGTCCAATATGGTTTTGACAATTATTATATTTGCCTGGGCATTTTAAGAAGTTGCTTCCAAAATATTTATACAGTAGTCTTAATTACAATAATAATTCTGGTTATTTATATGGACTATTTACACATAAACCACAAAAAATTATGATAAGATTTATCTCCCGAATTTATGACTTAAAACATCTGTGAAAGTCCACCTACTGGCACAGAGTGAGTGAGAAATGAATACACTGATTCATATTATAGGAGCATTAGTAATGACAGGTTAACTCTGTTATCAACAAGAAGACTGTGAAAACTCAGCTTCTGTAAATGTTGGTGTATTCATTCGTTTAATTAGCTGTTTAACTGACCACTAGGGGGGTTATTATGAAGGGGATGCCTGGTTGAGAGTAAACAGATGTTCACATGAGTACTGGCAGGAGTTATAATCAACGAAAATTTCCTGAAAATCCAGTATTGATTAATATGCCATCTTGAATTTATTTATAAGATGGTAACAAATTGCAGAGATAAAATAATCGTACACCTCTATCAAGATGCTGAAAAATTATTTTATCAAGTCCTTTTATAAACCTGTTTTCAAATCTTTAAAAAAAAAATTCAGTAAAGGAGTATTCCACTTAAGTATAGTAGTGTGGTCCCTTTTAACACCCTTGGTTTACTGGATAGATAGTAGCAATGGGTATTTTGTTTGATTTCATTGAGTATAACAAAGTATTTCTAATACAATCATAGTGCATTCATAATGAACTGTTAAACATATCAAAAAATATAAGCCGATCTTTACCACCCATCGCGCTAAAATATGCCGGAACTTTTCCCCTCCATCAGACTACGGTTTTTCTGTTACATGTAAATGGGCGGAGACATTTAGATTAGATACTATAAAAAGAATATCCGTGATATATAATATTTTCCTTTCAAAGACGAGTTATATGTTCAAGATTCACAATCAACAACAAATACAATTTTCTATTCACAAAACGCTAGCAATGTGAATGAACCACTATAACAAGATTAACCAAACACGTCCATATGCTGACCGATACATGATCGACTGAGTACATTTCAACTGAGTGCTTGCTAGCACGTTTACCGTGGGCATTTACCTGTAACGACACAAATCCACGTGGCTTGTTGTGATTCGAAACAGGACATAAAGAGGTTAATCGCATGTAAATGAAGACAGCGAAGAGGTTCAAATTCACAATACTTTTAAAAAAAAACATAGAGCACAAATGTTCAACAAAGATATTTTTACTCAATCTTTACACATATAATATACACATTATATATCAAACTTTGACAAATCTGTGCTCGGTGTTTACGAAAGCTTGAAAGTGTGTACCTGTCAGTGATTTCTTTTGATATTCATGAAAATCAAAGGACCCTAACTTCAAAACGCAGCTTCGTATTGTATATCTATTATTTGACATTTTTAGATGAAGATTCAAATAATAAAGACATTACTTATAACAATATTTAATTTTTAAAGCCTTTTATAAATGTGACTTAAATGAGACTTGTCCTTTTATTATTTGACATTTACGTACCGCAGAGTAAACTAATTTTGGAGACATTTTCTTAGCATTATTTGTATGTGTGGTTCAAAATTTTTCCTTTTAGTGCATTCCACTAACTTGCTAAAGAAATTAAATTTAGGGAAAAGTTCTTTTGAAAAGGAAGATGGAATATTTGATGAGAGAGATGTTTTTGATGTGTTGTATTCGATGAACGTGGCAAACAGCCTGTGATAAAAGTGGATGCATTTTATGGTAATGACAGAAATTTATCAAGTGATATATAAGCAGCTATGAATAATCTTATATGCCCACAATTAGTTCTTGTGAATCTAGCATATCTCTCCCATCTTAAATTGGTTTAGAAATGATATAAAAGTTCATCTAAATGATTGAGAAGGGGAAAGATAGTCTTTGATGTTTGAATTTAAGCATAATGTGTCATGCTTCTTGATTTCAATTCATATTCTGTCTGATGGGCTTAAATGTATTCAAGTATGGATGGAATGAGTGCTGTAGACCTCTTTGGTCCATTAATTGGAATGTTAAAAAGGTGATAGAAAAAAAATCTTGGGTTTAGGAATGATTCCATTAAAGTTGATATTAATTGGCAAAAGATTTTTTTTTTTGGGGGGGGGGACCTGCTCTTTCCGTGTTTGTTGGTTTATGGGGATGATATTTTCATTGTTGGGTACTGGTTTGTGTGGGTTGACCTTTGTATTGTACCTTTTGTTGAGATCAGAGGTGTTTTGTCTTGCCAGCAACTTGGTATCATTAATTAGTCATCACTGTTTCTTCCTTTGAATTTACAGTGAATCACATTCTGCAATTAATAAATGTAGTAGTCATAATGTATATGAATAATGAGTGAATACTGGTGGCCTTTTATAAGATCAGGTAGTGCTTTAAGCGGGAATTGGTAGCTTGATGAAAAAATCGGCACTTGGAGAAACTTTGACCTGAAACTTATGCAGGTCTTTGAGGGCTAAGAGACCAAGTTCAAGTTCCATTATAGAATATGGACATCAGATGTTATATTTGTATTAAACGTGAAAGTTCAAAAATATTGTATTTAAAGTGGAAAGAAATCCTTGTATATAATAATGAAAGACCCACCTTCCTAAAATACAAAATACTTAAATTATCAGAATTAAGTTGCATTCCACCAAGGCTTAAAGTGAAAAAAAACAACTAAATGTAATACTTTTACAATATCCATGAAATCCATGAAAATAGTTTACCCACAAAATGTAAAACATTTAAAGAAGTTTGATTACATGCTGTGAACTTTTGACAACTATAGTCCATACTTTATGAAATTTTTTTTTGATGTTTGACAGGGTTAGAGTTTAAGAAGTCTCCTAAGAATGCGACAGTAGAGGAGGATCAGAGACATGCCTTCCACTGCAGCATAAAGCGGTCCACAGGCTGTAAGAGAAAACATGTCAAGGTCAAGTGGTACCACAATGGCATCAAGCTCAAGAAGAGGGGAAGGAGTACCAATTTCCGATTAAAGAGTTCCGGAGCTGTACTTCTCTTTAACAACATCAAGGTTGAAAATCGTGGGGAGTACTACTGCATCGTCAACTGTGGGTGCTGCAATGGTACCACAGGCAGGGCCAAGTCAGAAAAGGCATACCTCAAAGTGGAAGGTAGTGCAATTGTTTATTCATATAGGTTTTTCTACTGTATCCCCTACACTTTTTTTTTGAATGAATCGTAAGAATAAGCAAATTACAATTCATTTTCATATATATGGAGGACAATGCGGTATTTTTTAAGTCTGTTCAGAAAGTTTTCATTTTAGAATTGTTTCAAATAATTTTCTTTTCTAATTATAAAATTTGAAGTTGTAAATGCTGATTATTGAATCTGCGATGAATCGCCTCCTGCCCTCATTTAAAAGCTCTACTGTTTTTAGGGACAGGTTTGATTTTTTGCTCTCTCTAATAGAGAGATAGAGCCTGGTTCTAATATTGTACTATTGGAATGATCAAATGTTCAAATGAGACACTGGCTAATGTACTTCTAAAAAAAATGGTCCAAAAAAGTACTTTGATTAAAAGACTGAATTAGGCTATGTTGCATGTAGTTGATTTCTTATGTCCCCACCCCTTGGTTCTGAACAAATTATTCATTCATAAAAAGTAGGCCAGTTTAAATCCACAAGAGATTCATATCAGATTAGAAATAAAGGTATTTCAGGTACATCTTTTACTTTCCAAATAAGCTGAGGTTCTTGTAAGGGTGCATTAAGATTTGGGCTATGTTTGTTTTCCCCTTACACTTGACTATGTTTTTATATACCGCTTTGTCGGGCGTGAATCACCCCGATCATGTTATCGTAAATTACACAAAACCTATTTATTCAAATTGGAAAAGACCTTGTGCTATTATAGTTCTGAGATAAATGGCAATTAATGAAAGAGATATAGGTAATATTGACACTGAAGTGTAGGGTTGATGAAAGGTTTGTCTTATTCTTCGGCACCAAGTGCCCCTGAGTAAATAGTTGGACACTACATCACACACTGTGGTAGGTAAAGACCCTCCAAACACGTCACCCCAGCAGAGAAAGCCAGTGACATTTCACAGTAAATGGCCACTTGAGTTATGTCTGCACTGGAACCTGTATTGTTAAGAGGCTGTCTGATAGCCATCAGAATAGTGCATGCTCTCACTAAGTCACTCTTCTTTATAGAAGGAGTACCTGGCCATAAAATAAAGCCATTTAACCAACAAGACAGACTTGTTTGCAGGGCTTTGTAGAGCTGTTAAAATTTTTACTCAGTTGGCTGGTTTCTTTTGTTTTTGAGTGAACAGACAGACAAGTGTATCATTTAATCATTTTGGGGACTTGGAAGTAATTCTAGTTTTTTTCCCCCTTAATTTTTGGTTTAACTTTACACAATTGCACAGAGGAAATAAGCTAATTTTTACAGATTTTTTTATGGAAGTTTAAGCAATGATGGAGTTAGCTCCCTTTTCACAGCATTTATAGAAAATATTATTTTGACGTATTAATCATCATGAATATTTTTAAAGAAAAATAGATGGCATTAAATCAAATTGAGAGTATGCACTTTGCATGCAAAGCTACCTTGGATAATGACTTTGATTTGGCATGTTCATTGCAAATACTCTAAGTGAAAATGGTACCATGGTGAACAAATCTGCAGATATGAAAAGGAATTGATTTTATATACTGATAAGAAAGAAATTTAGGCAATGCATTTAAGTCAAGATTAGCGGATCTTGTGTATATGAAATCAATACCTTAAACAATTTGATATTTTTTTGCAGAGAAATAATGGCATGTTGGTTTGTTCCCAGACAAGTTAATATTTTAACATTATTCAGCGGGCATTTCAGGGGATTTGACATTACAAAATGGGTGTCTCCTGTGCTTAATCCAATCACTATACAGACCTGACAATTCCTATTTGTGTTTATAGAACACACCCTAAAGTGTCACTGCTGATATTAATGAGGTTGTTTGAAGCATTCATTGTTTTAAATAGAAATTTTTAGGTAGCCTGAGTAATCACTGAGACTGACCCTCTCACTGTGCCTTAAAGGTACTTGGACACAGATTTGAAGTTATTATTTTCTCTATAATATTACGACTTATATATTTTAATAGCATTTCACACAAAAATTTCTCTATAATATTACGACTTATATATTTTAATAGCATTTCACACAAAAATTAATTAAAAATCTTATTTTGTTTAAAAGATATTGAAATTTCAAATTTTTCGGCGGGTTTGATTGACATATCGTTGCACTCTCACAAATTTAATTTTATTTTTAATCCTTAGGAAAAGTGGCAATCTCGTTTTGTATAAATGAAAAATATTAATACTATAATCCAGAAAATTCAGAGTAGACACGTTCAAAAGCAAAACAAACACATAATATATTGTCAGTCCTTTGCAGTTGTGGTAAGCAGACTGTGACGATTGAACGCACCCGGTGAATTCTAAATATAAACAATAACAGAACTCGAGCCCTGTTTACAAAAACTGTGTACATAACACGAGTGTGCTCGATTTGCTAAACTCTGCACGCATCTCTTAGTTCGGAATGACGATACTTGTGAAGGTGTTTTGCTTTCTAACATTTCTACTCTGAATTAAATTATTTTTCTTGATAAAAGGGGTAATATTTCTCATTAAAACACATCAAAATTGCCACTTTTCCTAAGGATTAAGAATAAAGTTTAAATTTGTGAAAGTGCAAGGATGTGTCAATCAAACCTGCCAAAAAATTTACAGTTTTAATAACTTTTAAACGAAATAAGATTTTTAATTAATTTTTGTGTGAAATGCTATTAAAATATATAATTCGTGATACTATACAGAAAAAATGAGAAAATATTAACTTCAAATCTGTGTCCAAGTACCTTTAACATTCAAACATTGATCTTTAACTTCTTCACCAGTATCAACCAATTTTGGTATATAGCAGTTATGAGCAAAAATTTGAATCCCCCACCCCATCCCACACGCTATCACGCCCTAAGAAGTGGGACCAAAACCATCAAAATTAATGGTTTTCATGCTTGAATGAAAAAAATGTGAAAAAAAATAAGTGAAGAAAATAAGCATCAATTATATGTGCTAATAATGATTTAATAAACAAGTGGTTGTGATTGCAGTTCCTGTAAGGTTTACGGAGAAGCACCCTATAAGTCGCTATGTGCAGTATGGGGTCCGTCTACAACTAGAGTGTAAGTTAGAGGGGATCCCTGCGCCCGAGTTAGAATGGCTGGATAAAAATGACACAGTGGTAAGTGTCCATTTGGGTATTTTAAATTAGTTTTCATTTAGAATAGATCCAAAAGAACAATATTCCTTCATTTGATGTTTTAAAGAAAAGTAGAAAAGAAAAGGCTTGTGTATTGTTCATTTTCTAATTTTTTTAAAAATACTGATTTTCAAGTCATGAAATTTTTTTTGAATATAAAAAATTTTTTATGCATATATTTTTGATAAATAGCTGAATTCCTTAGAAACCAGTGGTCTGACAATCACCTTTGCCAGGCCTCAAAAGGGATTCCTGGTTCAGCGCAACTCTACACTGCGCATTCAGGCAGTCACCACTAATCTGACCTTCAAATGTCGGGGCAGGAACCACCTGACCAGTGGTCCACACACGATCACAAGAGAGGCCCAAGTGGTGGTTGTTACACCACAAAACCATAGTAAGGACTTTATATTAAAAATCTTTCATGTCTGTATTTGCTCTCTGTATTTTTCAAAAGAAAATGTGCTTTTGTTTGCTGCAAGCAACCTTCAATGCCCTGCAACTTCTCATTTAAAAAGTTATCAGGAAATCTGTTGATATTATTCTTTTTCTGAGGTGTCTATTTAAGAGCTCTCAGTTTCTCAGTCTATTGAGTAGCCTGCAGGATAATACCTTGAAAAAGTCCAAATATTTAGATAAAGTTTTAGCTTGTTGTTGTCCAGACAAAGACTTTAATTAGGTTAACAAAATACTGCAAACATTTCATTTATGAGGACTATAGTTGGGACAACAGAACGACAGACTTGTTCTGGACTTGCTAGAAATTAAGGTGAAGAGCTGAGAAAGGAGAAGCAATAGACAGGGATATTTCATGCAATGTTTCTTTCTTTGATGGATTCATAAGATAGAATGCCATTGACATCTTTATCAGTTGTGTTGGCTTAGGCTCAGCAAACAGATGCTGATGAACATTTCAACATAGATATACTTTATCTATATTGAATACTGCATTGTTTGTCCTCAGAAAGCAGAGCGTCTGTCTCGACCAAAACCAGGGTTTTGATTTTAATTATTTCTAATTACTTGGAGGATTATTGACTTTTTTGTCTAATGGAAGAGGGAAGACACTCTAAAAGATTTTCTAGTGATATTTATCCAAAACATTTCAGTCAGAATCATTTCTTCATAATATAAAGAGATTTGTGTTTAAAGTGTTCCACAATATTCCTCGATATCTGGTCTCCAACTGAGGGCGCCCAGTTGACATAGCCAGAGCCTGTTTATTTTCCAACAGACATCACAGAGGATGCTAGAATATTAACAAAATATTTTGATCTAAGAACTTGATAAACCTTCTTAGATGATTTTTTGCATAAAGATAAGGAGGACTTGAAAATAACTGGTTCTATAGTCTGATAAGGTTGATTTCTACAGCCTCTGGAGGATAAAGTCAGTTCATTAGAAATTTCATGACAGATGGCTTGAGAACAAACCGTGTGATCAAGAACCTCTTTTTCTCACAGTGAAAAAAATTGCTTTCTCCCTCTGCATGTGATTTTGATAATGAGGTGGTGTTGGTCACCGTGGACATTAACTTGAGAGAGAGGGTTGTTATTGAAGGCAGGCAGTGGTGAAAATTGACGCCTTCTTACACTGTGCTTCATAGACTCGTATCTCCAACTTGTCATGTTCTTAATTCTTTTTTTGTGAAACTTTTTTTCAAAACTTTTTTCCTTGTGATTTGAGATGGGAGAAAATATTTGGAGCTCATCTTTCCTGATAAAATGTACTTGTACATAATTCGGGATGTTTCATTGAAGTTGGATTTTTGATAAGCTTAAGCGTGTCTTGTGTTCTTTCTGATGAGAAACAAATTTGCAGAGACATACAATCGGTGAAAGAAAATGTTTTAACTTTTAAGGATTAAACAATGCAAGTCAACATGCTGAATTTACTTTTATTATTTATCATTGTTTATTTTGTTTCTGCAGACAGAGTGAGTCCAGCCCCAACTAGGTGAGTTTTTATACTTCATTGTATTGAAATTATATTAAATGAATTTTTTTTTCTTTTTGATTTTACATTAAGTGCAATTTATTATAGATTTAATGCTTAAGAAGATGTATGAAATATAATATTTGTTCAAATGTTTTTGTTATATACATTTTTGCACAAATTATGACCGTATTCATTATTAACTTTTTTCCCTATTATAACTTACATTGAAGAAGGGAAGGAAGGGGGAGATAATCCCAATGAGAATGGTCACCTGCAATATATACCATGTTAGTGAGAAAACTAATTTTATCGTGGGAAATATTGCAGAGAAGGGATGTTGTTCAAGGGTATTGCATGGCTGAATAAAAAGCACTTGAATGTATGGTGTATGTCATGCAGTGAGCTAAAAACATTGTTTACACAAGTCATGAGGGGGCTTCAAACTTTAACCCTATGCTCTATCATGATATGTTTTGACTTGTTTAAATGTGTTACTCTTTTCCACAGAACAAATTAATGTAAACATATAAAGTAAATTTAGTTAGAGACAAAGACAGAGAGAATATATTTAAGTTATTGCGTGGTGCCAGAAAGGATTGTAATTTTTTTCAATCAAAGGTTGGGCCAATCCAAAAAAAAAAAAACTTGGATATATCCATCTCACACAGTCAATAAATGTGAATTATTAAATATTAATATTGAACAGCCAAGATTGGTTATGAACTACTTTTCAAAATTTAAGACTTTCTAGCTGAGTAGGACACATATATTTTCTAGTCCTGTTAATTCTGCACAAAAAGGTCTGTAACCATTGTTGAAAGACTTAGCTAGTCTTAGCTAGACTATATTAATCTTCATGTGTATGTCTATTTTGATAATGGAAACTTCTAATGGGATAAAATTAATTTCAAATTCCTGGTGAAATGACAAGACTGCTCTGTTTGAGTTTCAGCTTTAAGTCAGTTGCTTGTATAAATTGTAAGGTCTTGTTATACATGTTATAAGGAATATCTGGTGAGTGCAGTTGTCCACAGGCCTCTTGTAATCAAGAGAGACACAGTTGAAATCAGTTTACAGTGCTGATATTATTTGTGACAGATTGGTTTCTATTGAGTGACACTTTGACAAGTTTTTCTGTCATTCCATGTGTTGTCCACATTTTAAATATATGTTGCCATTTTGGATTCATTTCTAAATGTTGACAACTCTGTAAATTATGTCATTTGAAGGTCAATACGAAAATTAGACATTTTAAACTATGCTTATGTCATTCCAATCTTGCTTAGAACATTGCTACCTATTTAATGCAAGAAAACAATGAAAGTATCTTGTTCTATGGTAATCAAACTTCAGTTAATTTTCATATAGCTTTGCCTGTGTTAAAAAAAAATCCTAGAAGATGACTTGAAATTTAAAAAGTCAAATGTTTAGAGGGTTATATAGGTGTGCTGGAACACCTGTATGTAAAGTATTCACTTCAGCTGCATTCAAGATAACCCAATGTTCTGTCCCTGCTTCACACCAACAAACCATTAGTTTAGTACCAATCTTACCACACTGCATATTTTAGGCTGTTTATAGTTTACCCAATTGATTCAATCTTTGTCTTGATAATGATATTTGACACTCTAGCAGACAGATTTCATTTGGTTGTTTCTTGATGTTTAGAATTGATTCTTTTATGCTGAAGACATAATTATTGGGTAAGACTTAATGAGTTGAAGTTGAGCAAGGGATTATTGATAGGTCTGAGGAAAGATGTTTACACCCTCCACCAAAATAATTTTTGTCCAAATGTCTGTAGAAATTTACAACTGTAATTTAGACAACCTTGCCAAAATTATTCCATCTGCAAATTACCATTGTAAAATTGATAGCTAATGACACAGAATGATCAGCCTGAATGCACAGGAATTCAATTTGCATTTTTATTTCCAATTGCTTCTAATTTATGTGGAATGGAAGTTTAAGGGAACCCGTGAAGAAGATTGATCAAATTTAAGCTTTTATTACTCAGAGGTCTGAAAGTACAAGTTGATTTCAAAATAAAAGTTTTTTTAGCAGAGGAAAGGTCTAAAGCAGCACATTTTTACATTGATAAAAATAGATTTTTACCATTGAAATTCATTTGAGAGAGTAGGGTTGGTTTGAGCTTTAAATTAGGAGCCCTGAAAATATCACAGATTCTACAAATAACTTTGTAGGTCTTATATTGAGTTAAAATATGCAGAAAACATGAAACTTTTTTTTTGAAGTCCAATTTTTAATCCTTCTTCATTTCAGGCCCCGTGGAACCTGTGCCCCTTACAATGGAACAATCTGTAAGGATGTCCTGCAGAATGGTGTGGTATTCTTCAATGCTTCATACGGTAATCCGTCTGTGGATCAGGAGTCTCAGGTCCGCGAGCTGATAAAGGGAGTCCTATCCTCCATTGTCAGGAAACCCGCCTGTAAGGACGCCGCCCTCAAGGTCTTCTGTCACTTCGCTTTTCCTGGATGTCAGGAAGAAGCAGGGAAGATAGAGCCCATTCATCTGTGCAAGTAAGTCACACTGAAGTCCACATTATTTAAAATCTGTCAGAAATAGGAGTACATTTTTGATGTATCTTTGTTACAAAATGTATGTTTATTTGCGATGCACAATACTTTTGCTTGGATGTCACGTCAATCAAAAATGAATGATTAAGGGTGTGCAATATTGCCAATATACCTGTATAATGAAATATTAAGCTCAAGGATAATATTATACAGTTAATGACTAGGTATTAGGACGATATATGATTTGTTATACCTGGTGATAAATGTTTCCCCAGGGTGCATGTCAAAAGAAATGTGAAGGGTACATTTTGTGGTGTATTTCATTTAATACCTTTAATTCTTTAATGGAGATGCTTTGACCCTTAGGATTATAAATTTAAGGTGACCTGCACATTGAATATCGGAGTAAACTCGTATATATTGATATCATTGGTCACTGGAGCTTTCCCGTGATGCAGGTCTTTTGTGTGTATTTAATGTTAAACATAAAAATAGACTTGAGGAAGACAGTGTGGCGAAGAACATAGAATTTGAACAATAATTTATTTATGACCTGTCAAGTTCTCTTTTTCTCCTGTTTTGATAATTGCAAATAAAAATTTCTTTATATCCAAATCTCCAAATGGTTTAGGATAATTATTTGTGATATTTATACTTGCCATGAAATATAGCATGTCACCAGATCAGGGAAAAAAATCAATAGACGCTGCCAAGGTATTGAACACTGAAAATGAATGATCAATTTGATCATTTTAGTTTCAACACCTACGTCACTTACTGATGTCACATTTTAAATGGCTTATTATGTTCTGGATGAGATTCACTGTTAATGAATAAAATGATATTCTACTTTAAATGTTTTGCATCTTTATCATTTGGTGGAATCTCATTATGATTTATAAGAGGTACTTTATCAGGATTTATCAACAATGAATATTAATTGCCTCAAATCTGAAAAGAAGCATAAATCTCCAGGACCTGACAGCTCATTTGTAAAGATGTGTATTGGTAAGATTACTATCCCCTGCAATCTACAAGCAATTACTCTAATTAAAATATACAAAGCAAGTAACTGAATGATTACCTCATAATAAATTTGCAGCTTTTTAATGTAGAATTGGGGGTTGTCGATCATAACATGATTAGGCATATATCATTCATGAAATCGAATTAATGAAGTTATGCACCCCTGTATTGGCCTGTAATGGCAAGTTAAGGCTAGAAGTCTGCTTTCAATTAAACTTCTTGAGATGAAAGTAATCTTCATTTACAAGGGTTAGTGAATGCTTTTAACAAAATCTGGTGCAGATGTTACAACATTTAGTGCATGGGAAAGAAATGACTCCCCTTGAAACAAGTGGTAGGGCTGAGAAAACCTGCAAAGCAGACGTCAGAAGTTGTTGAGAATTTGTCATGGCCACAAGTAAGGTGTTAATACAAGTAGGAAAAGGGCTGCAGTTAATATGATTTATGGCAGGTAAACTTCAACAAAAGAGTCATTGCTCTGTCTGGAAAAGGGTGGATATTGTTGCCTTACTTTGTAAAGATGTGTATCAACACGAACCAAGTTTTTTTCCCCTCCATTTTTACAATGTATCAATGATGTGTCCCAGATAGTTAAAAAAGGTTGTATATTATAGCTGGTGAACTAGTTTTGGTGATTTAGGAGGAAAATTTTATTAGTTTTTTTAAAATCAGGAGTCTAGTTGTGTTTGGAGGTTAAGTTAGACTAGGAGTTTCTTTTTATTAATAAGCCAATTTCTGATTTTCTGTCATTTCTATAAACAGGATTATCATGTAGGCTAGTTTCTATAAGGTTTCAGAAAATGAGGGTCTATATAAATTGGATTATAGAACCTTTCCCACAAGTCATAAATAGAAAGTGTCAGCTCAATAAAATTGTAAAGGAAATGAAAAATTATTTTATTATTTATATCTTTTACATTTCACTTTATGAGGTATTGATCTGAGAAAATTTCAGATACCAAATTAAAAAGGATTTATTGTGCACCAATCAAAACAGGACCACACACTATGCCGACTTAAAGAAATTGACAATGGGGGGAAAACATTTTAATATGATTTTTCCTAATGAGACTAGCAATAGTGGGGGTATTGATAAAACATGCCTCCTTTCTTATGTTACAATAAACTTAACTTGAAATATTGTACAACATGAACAAATTAAAGTGATGGTAATTTGTAGTTTCAAATTACAAAAACTCTGTAATGCTAGGTTTTGTTCAAAAATTATTTTAATATACCTGACAAAGACTTTTCCTTGTGTGAACTTCAGGGAGAGCTGTTTAGCTGTAAAGGACCTGCTGTGCTTCGACCAATGGAACGAAATGAGTGCGACTAGAAAAAGTCCAACTCCTCTCCCAGACTGTAAGCTATTGGTCGGCAAATATGACAATGGCTCACAGTGTATTGATGGAAAAATATTTCACAAAGACCCAAGTCAGGTTACAAGTGAGTGTAGATTTATATTTGGGAAAAAATTAAATGTTACTAGATAATTTTAGAGTATTCAGGGTTCCTACTACAAAGAGAAGCTGCCTCCTTAAATCAAATGCAAGAATGCACATAAAAAAATAACTTGCATATTTCTTAACATTCCTTATTGAAAGAAATCATATAAAGCCTTAAAAGACATGAATAATTGGATTTAACATGAATTGTAGATAAGTGCTATGTAGGAACAGGCCAGTGGTACAATGGGACGGTCAATGTTACCAAGTCCGGGACGGCCTGTCAGCCGTGGGACAGCCAGCATCCTCACTCCCATCTCCGTCCCCCGTCAGTGTTCCCCAGCCTACAGGGAGCAGAAAACTACTGCCGAAACCCAGGATCAGAGGAGGACAAGCCTTGGTGCTATACAGTCGACAAACTGCAGAGATGGGAACTCTGCGATATCCCCAAATGTCATGGTAATGTTTTTGAAATTACTCATCCATGGATCAATAAATCCTTCAGAAAATACCTGAAGGGGCATTTTCAATCAGTTGAAATTTTTTCTTTTTCAGAAGAGGTCATACCTCAGGCTACACTGCCGGAAACTCAGAACTACACAGTTGCCATCATCATCATCATCATTGTTATAGCACTGGTCGTCTTTGTCTCTATCCTCATGGCTGTTCTCTGTTGTCAAATCTCCAGGCAACGGAAACAGGTTAAGTATAACAGCACCCCACAGGATGACCTTGACATTGACATCGGCAAACTGCCCCAAAATTCTTGTTACCATAAACTGTCAGAGTGTTCTAAAATTAACCCTAAACTTCAAAATATGGAGTACCCGAGAAATGATATTGTGTACATCAGGGATATTGGACAGGGGGCCTTTGGTAGAGTGTTCAAAGCTAAAGCACCCAATATCATCAACAACCAATCAGAATCCTTGATTGCAGTGAAAATGTTGAAAGAAGATGCTTCGGAGGAGTTGCTGCAAGATTTTCAGCGAGAGGCATCATTGATGGTAGAGTTTGACCATCCAAATATAGTGAAACTGTTGGGAGTTTGTGCAATTGGTAATCCAATGTGTTTACTATTTGAATATATGAAAAAGGGGGACTTGAATGAATTTCTCCGTCTCAACAGCTGTGACAATTACATTATAAGGCGGCACAGCATGGACATCTATTCTGAGCAGAAGCCTTCATTAAATACTTCTGATCAGTTATATATTGCAAAACAGATAGCTTGTGGGATGGTGTATCTGTCAGAAAAGGGCTATGTGCACCGTGACTTGGCAACCAGAAATTGTTTGGTGGGAGATGATCTGGAAGTGAAAATTTCAGACTTTGGACTGGCAAGAAGCATCCATTCATTAGAGTATTATCGTGGAAGTGAACATGATGCCATACCAATTCGATGGATGCCTCCAGAATCTATTCTTTACAATAAATTTGCAGTTCATTCAGATGTGTGGTCTTTTGGTGTTCTGCTTTGGGAACTTTTTTCCTTTGCTCTTCAGCCTTATTATGGCATGACACATGAAGAGGTGGTTCAGTTTGTAAAAGATGGAAAGGTGCTAGCTTGTCCTGAAAATACCCCCAAACAAGTGTATGACTTAATGAAAATGTGCTGGAACTCCAAACCTGTTTCTCGGCCCTCATTCCAGACTCTGCTCAAGTCTCTCAACTCACTCTATGAAGATTACCAAAGAAAAAAAGTGTTGAGTGAACTTGTTTAGCATTCCAGAAGAATGCCAACACAAACTTTGTATCTTGGTATGAATACAGGCAGCATTTTCTCTTCCATTTAAACAAATTGAGTGATTGTGGACATGGTGTACCATTAATTATACTGCCAAAGTCTCATCTCTCAGCGTACCTGTCATAATCAGAGGGGGGGATGATGCTTTCATTTCTTCCACCTGCTGTGATTAGCTCAGTGATTCGTTGATGTATCAGGGGCCAATACTCTTTGTTTTAAGATACCATTTTTCTAAGGGACATCATACGAGTCCTGTAAACTGTATATACCTGATGAAAAGAAACCAAACTTTGTGCCAATTATTTACAAATGTTTCAAAGATATGTGTTACTTTATATTGGATGTAGTAATCTAATATGTAACATGTATATAAACATGAGAGTACTTCATTTGAAAGTAGTATAGTTTATGCATTGCATGTAAAACTAATGTACATACAGAAAAAAACATTTTTAATGTTAGGCTGTGTGTTGTAATACATCTTGAGAGCTCTTCTCCTTGATTCGTGTGCTTACACCATATTTATGATATTTTTTACTCTTGATTTATATTAAGATACACCTCTCAGCTGCTGAAATGTCGGATCCCCTGGTATTGCTGGCAGCCTGGGTGCTGCCTTATCTTTGTCCCTTTATCTGAGCTGCCGCTGCTACTGATGTTGGAGGGATTTTGGAGCGACTCCTATCTGATTACTGCGACTCGCGGCAAGCAGGGTTTAAGGATCAAATTTCTGATAAGATGAAATAAGGCTATTTCTTTATATCCAGTATTAATTCCGACATATCTTTGAAAGATCTTATGTTCTGGGTTATCATTTTATTTAATTTTTAATTTAGGTCAAAAATAAATGCTAGTGCGGATAAGGTTATTTGTGACTGAATTTTTTGTAGTCGAAATAAATTATCCTTACTCTGAGAAACTAGTCATATATAAAGTTATGTACGTTAACTGTACATAGGTGTGATTATTAATTGTTTACAATGGCACTTCTTTTATTTAAAATTATATTTTTGTGTTGAAATAAATTTTTAAATAGTATAATAATAACACACTTGTGTTATTATTATTATGATTAAAAATTTAACTGAGGCAAAAAAAAATGTATAATAATAACACATTGTGTTATTATTATTATGCCTTTTGAAGGTTGAAATACATAATATACCCAAAAAAAATTAAGTAGTATTTATGCCTTTTGAATGTTGCATACAACCAAAAAGTTTGACAGTACATAGATTTAAAAAGGAGAAGCTAGAAATACACATATTAAAAAAAAACACACAAATAATATTTGAAATACAGATTTTGAATCAAGTCTCTGTAAAGTGCATATTGGATCCTGTGTAGATAATTAGACTGTGGACAGTCTTTGAATATAGACATTGCTGAAGAGCATGACCATTGTTACTTTCTAGTCATTGTTGAATTCATGTTTGTGTAAGTCCCATGTGTATTATAATAATTATGAGTTACCATATGTTTATAGTAATTGCATCATGAATAAAGTTTTTTCTGTGCTTCCATATGTAGGTTTGTGATAATTTTGTAAATGAACAATAAAAGGAAATAAATTTTGCATTTTTACATATTTTTCTTAGCAATTTTGAATACTGTAAATTCAAAACATCCCTATTAAAGAAAATGTTCTACTTTGTCATAACTATGGTTTCCTATAACTGTTCATTTGAGAATTTTTTTCTCGTATGGAGACGCCAACACTTGGTGGTAGAGAGCAGCAAATTTTGTCTTTTACTCCACACACAGGCCATTGAGCTATGAGGACCTCTGTTTATAGAGGATCTCATCCAAGGAACCGGTCTTCATGTCCCACAGTGGGATTTGAACCTGTGACGTAAGGATCAACTCCCTACTTTGTGACTCTTAGAGCAGACGCTCTAACCACTTCCTATTATACTGAGAGTTGTTTGTATGATGCTAATTCATTTTGCTCCAACCTTTGTTATTTCAAATGAAACCCTCACTGCTCAGTGGCACCAAGTGCCAAGTAAAGGCATAAATTTAAGGTTTTTCCACCCTCACCATTTTAGTGGTTTAAAGTACAAAAACTGCATTTATAGTTACAGTGTATTATAGTTTAAATTTACCAGTTATCGCACAAAAATTATAGGTCACCAGTTAAAATGGGAGACATAAACAGAAGTGTTTGTCAACATGAAAAAATGTTAAATTTTTTGAAAATAGTATTGTAAGGATTATGTAACAAGATGTGTTTGTGAAACACTGATGCCTCCGTATGGCAACATAGCAAAGATTAAACTTTTCTTAAATGCAAATTTTTTATATATTGGTACCAAAAGTAGGATATTCTCACTGGAAATACATTTGTGAAATATGAAAGAAGGCCAAGGTTAAAGTTTTTCATAAGTACAGAAATCTACGTGGTCAAGGTCTTTAGTATCCAATGAAAGGTCTTGCCACAAAAAAATCCATATGTAAAGTATGGAAGCCCTAGCCCTTACCATTCAGAACTTATGGCCAAGGTCAAAGATTTTAATAAGATCAAGGTCAAAGGTCTTGCTATCAAATGAAGGGTCTTGTTACAAGGATTAAATATGTAAAGTATGAAAGCTCTTGCCCTAACCCTTTTAAAGTAATGGTCAAGGTTTACTTTTTAAAAGTAGGTCAAACTTAAAGGTCAAACGGTCAAAATTCTTGGTATCCAATAAAGGGTCTTTAAGTGAAGTATGAGATCATTAGCCCTTCGTGTTCAAAAGTTTTGGCCAAGATTGAATTTTTTTCATTAGTACAAAAATCTCCAAGGTCAAGGTAATTGGTATCAAATGAAAGGTCACATAAATACATATGTACAGTATGGAAGCCCTGGCCTTAACCATTCAGAACTTATGACCAAAGTTTACTTGTTTGAATAATTGAAAAAGTATATCAGTAAAGCATACATGTAATTTTGACATACAAAGGGTTTTAAAGATTTTTTATCTGTAAAATTAAAGGTCTTGTCAAAAGGATTAAATATGTAAAGTATGAAAGCACTATGTAACATTTTACCTTTAAAAGTTATGGTGAAGGATTTGGTATATTTCTATGTAAAGATTTGATTGCCAATTATGGCCCAACCTTGTCCCAAGGGGTCATGAATTTTTGATGTTTACATATTAATATCAAATCATAACTTTGCTGTTTTTTAAAAGATTTTTTACATATATGTTTTACTTTTTTAGTATGAAACCCTAGCCCTTGATTCGAACAAATTTGAATCTACACTACCAAAAGTTATGGTCAAGGTTATGTCCCTGTGTTTGTCTGTTTGTCCACAAAAACGTTAACCTTGCCCATAACTTTTGATTTAGTGGAGCTATGACTTTCATATTTTACTTGTGTATTCCTGATGACAAGACCTTTCTTTGAGTACCACCAAATTGGACCTTTTGAACTTGTCCTTGGAGTTTGACCCACTTTTACACAAAAATTCCAAACTTTTATCTTTTAAACAGAAGATATCAGGACTTTTATACTTCACATACGTATTCTTTGTGACAAGACCTTTCATTGGATACCAACAACTTTGACCTTTTGACCTTAACCTAGGAGATTTCCTTACTTGTGAAAAAAACCTTAACCTTGGCCATAACTTTTGAAGGCTAAGGGCTAGTGCTCTCATACTTCACATATGTAATCCTTGTGAGAAGACCCTTCATTGGATACCAAGAACTTTGACCTTTAATCTTGACCATGTAGTTTGACCTACTTGACTAACAAGAAAGCCTTGGTCATAACTTTTTAAGGGTTAGGGATACTGCTTTTATACTATAGTACACATATTTAATCCTTGTGACAAGACCTTTCATTTGATATCAAGATTTTTGACCTTGACCTTGGAGATTTAACCACTTTTTAAAAATTTTAACCTTGGCCATAACTTTTAAACGGTTATGGCTAGGACTTCGATACTTCAAATATGTATTCTTTGTGGCAAGACCTTTCATTGGATACCAATTACCTTGACCTTTTGACCTCGGAGATTTTTTTACTTATGAAAAAACTTTTAACTTTGACCATAACTTTTGAACTCTAAGGGCTAGTGCTCTCGTGCTTCATATATGTACTCCTTGTTAGAAGACTCTTCATTGGGTACCAAGAACTTTGACCTTGACCTTGGAGTGTGACATACTTTAAAAAACAAACCATGACCATAGGTGTTGAAGGGTTAGGGCTAGTGCTTTCATACTTTTCATATGTAATCCTTGTGACAAGACCTTTCGCTTGATATGAAGAATTTTGACCTTTTAGTTTGACCTACTTTTTAAAATTCTTAACCTTGGCAATAACTTTTGAAGGGCTAGGGCTTCATATATGCGTTCCTTGTGGAAGACCTTTCATTGGATACCAATTACAGTGTACCTTGACCTTGGAGACTTCCGTAGTTATGAAAAAACTTTAACCTTGACCTTCATTCATATTTCACAATTGTTTTTCCAGTGAGAATACCCTACATGTACTTTGGGTACCAATATATTTTGCATTTAAGCAAAGTTTAATCTTATGGCCTTGGTCCATTGTAAAATGTGTAACTTGCAGAAAAATGTAGCAATTTAAGAGGACTTGTAAAAAGAATATTTTGAGAGCTAGCTCACAATACATTTAGTGAAAACCAGAGTGCATCTATTTTTTTAAAATTATGATCCTCATGGGTAAATTGTGGCTTAAATGGATGAATTAACTTTTACAAAGGAATATTTACATTGTCCAGTCTTTCTCTGTGAATAAACTACAAATAAGGTAATGGCTTTATAACCCCATATTTATATATTTTCTCAGCACATAAAAGAACTGCATGCTTTTCCGCTGCGTGTTGCTTAGGAAAACACCTGGCGGGGATGCCGGGATTTATTATCTATTTTTTTTTGTAAGATTAAACCAGATTTCAGGTAAAAATAAGAAAAAACTGGATTTTTGGTTTTATAATGATGATCAAACAATTTGCTCACGTGATAATCAAATTGCGATTATGCAAATTATCACGCAAGCAAACTGATTGATCATATCATACCCCCCACCCACACACACACACACAAAAAAAAAACAACTAGAGAGTTATTCCTTACTTTTTAATAAACATTATATCGAAATTTATTTTCATCCTCTTAAAAGGAATGTGGTAATATTTTTACACAAACACAGACACTTGTATCTATAGTATTTTTTAACAACTTAGTATAACAATATTATCATACTATGGGCTAAATATTTATTGCAGAATCAAGTGCCAGTAAGTTCTACGCAGTTAGAAGCAGGCATCTGAAGTCTGAATAACGCAAATTATATCTCTCAATACCTCCTTTGAATTTTTTCAAAAATATGTGATTTCTACGTCAATCTATGTCGTTCCGTGCGTTCAGTTTATCCTTTTTTCTACGGAAATTTCATTCGACGATCAAATTATTTGTTCTATTCCATTATTATATATTTTGTATTTGGAAGGATAGATGGACTTTATCCATAGTTAATGAGTTTGGGGTTCTACACAGTAACAAATACACAAGTGGTACTCTCTTTAAAAAATATACTGGGTTATAAATATTACGAAGTAAAGTTAGGTGTTCGTGTAATTTTATTAGGTGGTTCTGATATGTCCGTGTAAATATAGTGCAGGAAAATTCAGAACAGGATAGACATGTTACCTCGCCAAACAAAACTGTGTTTTTATAAACGTTATTATTTGAAAACAGCCTGGCTTTCATCAAAATTAAGATAATTCCTCCGTTGAAAAAATATGTATTTACTCATCACCCCCATCCCCCCCCCCTTCAAATCGAAAGCTTCCCTAATTTGTTGTGGTGAATGAGGTATTAGTTAACATTAAGTCTTGAAATTACTTGCATTAATTATTTCTTGAAATTACTTGCAATTTTTTAACAAAATCCTCTTCGTTATTAAAAGAAATTTATTTTTTCCAAGTACAACCTAAGAGCTTGATATACGTCCCCGATTCAGTGTACGTATGTCCCTCCCTCTCCGTACCTCTCTTGAAAAGCACGCGCATGCCAGTCTCCTATCATCGTGTTCTAAACGAAGGTGACATATTCTCCAACAACATTCGGCCCCCAGATCATTGTTACAGACTTGCTGTCAACATTTTAGTTGCGTAATGACATTAATGATGAGTACTTCATCGTAAAAGCTTTGAGGCGGGGGTTCGTGTTTCAGATGCATGTAGTGCAGTCTCGGGGATAAAGGACACGTGTACTCGTTCGCTCGTGTCACGAAGTCTTTCATCAAAAGAAATTGAAATGCCTAACATTCAAGTAATGGTAATTCAGTGAGCACATGTGAGAAAATAATAAGCTAATACTTGCTCAAAGAAAAATAAATCGAACACAGCTTGATTTTAGTATACGATATATGATACATAATATGTAGTAGATATATATTTAGGATACGATACTTTGAAAAAATTGGAGTATCATTGCAGAATCTCTATCCATGAATACAACAAGGCTATGAATTATTTATGTGAATAAAAGCGATAATTTGGATGTCAGGATGCCTCGTTAGGTGCACGTGACCAGCATAACTGCTAACATATTTCAATGATAAAGGCCCATACAGCTGATCAATAAATGCCTATCACGATAATGAGGTGGGGAGACGGGCGATAAGAGATGCAGAAAATCGCCCAAACCAGCATCCAAGACATTTGTTTTATGGGTATTTAATAATGTACAAACAATTTCCATGAAATTAATATTCAGTGTGGCACACAGTAAGAATTTCTCCACGTTTTCTGTATCGCGTATAGTGAAGTATTCAAAATAAATATCAATAATTATCAAAATTTTATTAAATATTAACAGTATCATGTAATTTTCTTCATTAAATTTGATATCATAATATTGGTTAGCAGTGAGTCAATGTGACTACTTTTATGCTTTCCACTGGTAAAGAGCAAGAAAGACAACCCAAATATATGTATGCAATCAATCTCTAGTCAAGTTCTTGGTAAAAGACCACCGAGCTCTCATCTGTTATGACTGATATCGGAAGCTAGCTGATCCTTAGGCATCTCATTCTTCACTGTGGGACAGTTTGGATCATGTCCCTTTTTGCTGGCCTTTTGAGTAGATCATTCAACAACAGTTTTGATGACCTCACTTAATTTCTGGATTATACTTGGAGAATTTTCTTTCAGGGAGAAGGCTAAAAGAACTTTCTTTGTTGTATCCAGTTTTGAAAGCAGATTCTTGGCAATGACATGTGTCAGAGGCTTAAAAATAAATATTTCTGTTACAGTATATTAATAGAACATCTCTAAAAGAACTTCATGGTAAATGAATAAATGAATTTGTCTGGCTTTTATATGTTGCCTATTTTGACTTATTGCATTAATTTTTTCTCCACAGAATTACAAGTTACCCTTAATAAATGTCAAAGGTGACCAACATTCTCTAACTGAACTGTAGCTCTACTGGCTAAAAAAAGTGGAACTGCATCTGAACTATGTATCTTGATGTTTTCTTGTACCATTTAAAGGCTGAAAAAAAGTGATAATTTGCAGTTGTGACAGGAAAGGAGAAAAATGTGACAGACTTGACTCAATAGTCAATTTGAACCTAGGTCTGGTCCATCACATTTTTCTCCTCTTCTATTACATTTTGGTGCCATGAACAGGATATGACAGGTATTAAAGGATCTGCCAGAGAAGAGTCTGGGTCAGTGTCTTTGAGGGCTAAAGAGAAATGGGCTGGTAAGAAAGATTCAAATGCCAGTCTAGTACATCACATTTTCTCCTCTCTTTTTACACAATTAAATTTTGTAAATGGTGCTTGTTTTAAAACTAAATTTATTTTAAATACTAAAAAGAGTTCAAGGAAGCCAGAGAAGGAGACAAATTAGGGCATTTTACCAAATTTTCTCAATGTTGATGAAACGTCATTCAAGTAAATACATGTAGTACCTATCATTCCAAGACACACCCACAAGCAATGGCCAGACAGGAGTCTTATTCTATCACCTCCTTTTTAGTCTTAGTTACCAAGGTATCATTGCTCACTGAAATCAAAAGATTAATCTTGGAGAGCATTTGTTATTGAACTTTGGCCAAACCTTTCAGAGCAGTAGCATATTTTTTCTTACAGGCAATACAGACAGACATAGCTAAACAGACAGATGTTAAACACCTTACTATGACATAATAAACTCTTTTGATCTCTGGCCAGTATCAGTAAATATAAGCAAATATGATTATGTACAGCTATAAATTTTTAAATCCTTTCAGCATTTAATACATACCTCATCCACTCCCAGGAGAACTCGGGTTGAGTAGGAGGGCCGGGCTGTAGACATCTCCTGTAGAACTAAATCTCTTGTCACTTCCACCTGTATCAGTTTACACAGAAAATAACTTGCTTCAAAGCAATTATTTAAGACAACGTGAAGGATGCAGAAAAATTAAAGCAGTGCACAGACAGTAAAACACTTTGTTCTCTCATTTCTTTAGTTTGTAAAGGAAAAGAAGCACACTCTTACAAAAAAATGTGGATGTATTAAATTATTGAGTTTATAAGAATAGTGAAGAATTTCATACCATAGTTCCCATCTTATTCAGCTGAGTCGCAAGAATAAAATCATAGTCTTCATAATGACAACACAATACTTCAGTTGGTTCACCATCCAAATCAAATGCTTTCTACAAATTAGGTGAAAAAAATGATATCTTTATTGGAAATATTTAACATACAATAAAATGAGTAAGTGAGCTGTAATGGTTTGGGCCGTGGATATCAGCCTGGATAGCTCAGTTGGTAGGTCAGAGCACATATTTTTTTTCTCTCTTCCTGTTACATGAGCAAAGTAATATAAACCTCTCCAATAACCAAAGTATTGGTGTAGGCTAAATGTGATTTCGGTCGCTATGACTGCTCAGGCCTCAGGTTCGGCGAAATGCTGTTCAAAAAATAAATAAGCCGGACACAGCGACTCAAATCATTGGGTTCACAATAAAACAAAGTTTTCACTGGAACAACTAGGGCTGGGTATTGGCCTGAGATTTCGTATTGCGATATATTGCGATATTTTTAACTGTATTGCGATATGTATTGCAATATTTTCAATGTAATAAAAATGGCATTTTCTTACTTATTTACATTCAGAATGTACATAACTATGATAAGTAACCAACACAGAAAAAAAAAATCTTGTTGAATTCATTTAAGTTATGCTCTGAAATGTTCCCACAAACAATTTCTGACTTACTGTTTGGTTTAATAACAACTTTTATAAGTCCATTTTTATATTTAATGACAAAATTCCTTAATCTAAGCATATTGCCAATATATCGATATTACAAAATCGTATTGCGATACGATATTTTTGTCATTGTAAATATATTGAAATAATTTTGCCCAGCCCTAGGAACAACGGAGCCATTATTCATTTTCAATTTAAACATGGAACTGTTCAATATAATCTCTAATGAAATTCATTGTTCTTTTTTAAGAAAGTAGGTTACATCGATAAAACAAAATGAAAATATACACCTGTTTACTTTTCAATGGAAAACCACCTGTAGTTATGGGCGCCGCCATATTGTTTTTATTAGATAACTCGATCTAAAACTTATTCGTCCACCAATAACCAACACGTATCAATTCTCTCTCTATATAAAAGTATTTATTAGCAAACTCCATTTCTGGATCTGATTATATATTTTGTCTAATGTGATATTTACTAGTATTTAAACTTTTTCCTACAAACTGTTGGAATTCCCAAGGGTAATAACAATGAACTGTTATTTCCTGACATGTGCGCGGTTATGTTTGTATTCAAATGAAACAAAAATTATTCAAAATCATCTACATGAATGGAAAAAATCTCTTGCTTTGGCTTTTATCATTCAAAATACTGACTATGCTTTATCATATGATATTATTTTTGATCATACATTGATTAATTCATCTTCTCCCTTCGAATTCAAAATAAAATAAACACATGATGAACTAAACTTTTCTTGTTTTCAACCTCAATAATATTGTGCAACAAAATATCTTAATCACCTGCATACATGTGGAGTTTATGTCTCCCATCTAACTCTACACAAAAGCATGCTCTATGTGAGAACAATTTCCAGATCACTGCAAGCTTTTGACATATAAGTTGATGATACATGCATGTACAAGGATATCATGTTTGAAGTCATCATTTTGCAAATTCAATGATTGATACAATAACCTTGTCAACTGACATTTTTTATACAAATTAAAAACATTATTTTTCTTCTGAACTGTCTATGGCTTTTCCTGTTTGCCTGATCATTATAAGGAGTAAGAAGTGTGGGACTGGTCAACAGGGGATGCTTGCTCCTCAATGGAATGATTAATACAGAAGACACCATTTCATTTTTTAGCATGTCAAAAAGATCACCAATAATCATTTGATGTATCACAGCATGAATCAAACACATTTTCGAACATACAATATACATGTATTTCATTATATTTATTGATTTATTTACAAATAAATTTATGTATCTTCAATCTCTTTCTTGATTTTCTTTCCTTTCTCTGCAATTCATAAATTAAAAATTAATTTATTACGTGCTTAAATATCTGAGTTGTTTTCTTCAGCATTTATTTAATTCTTTCTTTTTTTTTGTGTTGTTCTTGATAGTTAGAGAAATTACAGAAAAGTGTATAAATAAACAAGAAAAGTTCCAAGACTTCAGATATTTCACTGAAAATCTTATTAAATTTTTTTTATACACATGTATCAGATTGAATTTGTTATTTGAAAACTCAAATGCAATAGACAATTCTTACTTTTCTGCAGTGGCTGTTTTCCTAACCGCTTGATATTTTGCTTTTTAAGTTCCTTTTTCAATTTTTTCTCTATCTTCTGTGTGTATTCTTTTTTGCCAATCTTCTGTTTTTGTAATTTTTTCTTTTCATTTGATTTACTGTCCTCAACTTCTTCCTCACTTGACAGTCTGTCCTCAAGTGTTCTGTTGTCTTCCTCGAGGACACTTTCAGTCTCTACTTTCACCTTTGACACTTTCTCCTCCTCTGAAGTCTGGGGTGCCATTACAGTAATACAAGTCAACCTAAATCCTGCATTGTGTGAGGCTAGTAACTTCATATTCACCTGAAAAATGTACAGATTGTTGAAAGAATTAATTAGATATCTTCTAAATTTTCTATATTACCCTCATATACCATACATGCAATACTTATAATTTATATTCTTTTAACTTAATGAAAATGAATCAATGTAACCTTATCTTTTGTAATATCATACCATATCTTGAACTTCAAAAGAAACACTTTTATATTAAAATTAGTTATAAATTCAGTCAATTTTTTGAATTTTTGCACACTGACATTAAGCAATTGGAATGAAATGCACAGTTTCTTGATAAAATCCACCGCTGAAAACCACAAGGACATGGCAAACAAGAGCAGAATTTTGGAGGTGCATTCAAGAATCAATATCATTGCAGCTATGAAGTGACACTCTTGAATGATAACTGTTATGTATACAGTGCATTAAATAAACCTTGATGTCTAGTCTAACAGCTTGGCTAGTTATTACAATCTTGAATGAAGACTTGACAATTTTAGAAGTCTAACCTTCTCCTCCTTGGTAGTAAGGGAGAACATCTTGATAAAACCATCACTGGAGGCTGTAAACACGTAATACTTATCCTCCTCAGCTGGATCTGATTTTACAGCACAGATACCCCTGATCCTATAACAGGAGAACCAATTATGTATTCTAATAATATTATATATAAATCACATCAATGGTATATACATTTGTATTAACTGTCAAATATCCTTTGGCTGAATTTTGAACCTTTACTTGAGTCACTAACCGCCTAACATAACCAAGTAACTTTCTTTTATCAATCAGCAGTCAACGTTATATACCTGTTTCTACTTTCAGTAGTTCAGCTGGATACTGTATTGTTTCATTCTACATGTAGTTTATCTTTTTTATCAGACAGTCTGTGTTAGAGTTTTGACTTGGACTCATGTACTCTGTTTTATATGTGAGTTTGAGTGTGTAAGACTAACCTGTTGACGTCAGCACTGACTGATGCCAGTTCTGTGTTGTTGTTGATGTCATAAAAAGAAACCACCCCTCCCTCTCCACCATATAACACAACATTGTCCTGTACAGAAAAAACAATTCATTCTTTGAACCAAGATATAGCACATGATATCAGTCACAATTCCAGTGCATGTATTTTGTCAGTAACAAAGAAATTAAATGCTACAAAATGAGAATAAATTAAGATATCTTATCGAAAAGGTTAGTTAAGTTTCACTAAATTATAAAAGGAAAACTACTAGTATAATTGTATATAAACTTAACACAGAAGTTACTTTTCTCAGGAGTGTACTTACAGAAGAATCAGTAAAAATGATCTTACATTGACAAAGGCAAGGCTGTTAACTCTGTGTTCTGTTGTCCAGGAAGAGCAAACACTGCCAGTCTACAAATCATACAAAATGTCTCTATTAAACATAACAAAATGTAACAAGCTTTGTATTATATTTACTAAAGTTGATGAACCTAAACATTATCGTATGCCAAAAATTTCTTAAAGTGCTTCTTAATATAATACATTAAAACTTGTGTAACAACATGTATATACAGTTGACTTCACCAGTAAAGTAAATTGACTTTGTGTCTCATAAAGCTTAATAATAATAAAAATTAACATCCTTTATAATACATTTTTTGAATCTCAAAATTTATAATACTGAACTGACTGAATTTGTTACAAGTGCTTATCTGAATTTTAATTCATCTAAAAAATGAACCACTTATTCTGTAAGTACCAGTACATGTACCAATGATGAAGAGTCCTGGTTAATGAATTAAATAGGCATACCTCAAGTTTGTAGACATCCACTTTATTGGCAAAAACGACAGCATAAAAATGACCACTTGGAGACCAGCATACAATATCAGCAGCTGTCAAAGAAAATTGAATAAAATCAGCTGAATCTAGCCAGAGAAATACATCTTTCAATTCTCTACTCACAATCTCTCAAACACTTGTGGGTGTTTTTAACCTCTGAATTACCTCTCTTGATGTTTGTGATGTAAGCTGATTTTCCTGTGATGAGATTCCAGGTCCTCAGTGTTTTATCTTGACCCACTGTTAATGCTAACTTCCCACTAGGATGGACTGACAGAGAAAGGACTGGACCTCTAATTCATAACAGAAACATAGGAAAACAAAATACATAGATGATAACATATTTATATATTATACATGTATTAAAATATAATGTCAATATTGAAGGAATACAATATATTTACATAATATAATGTGAATACTGAAACTCTCACAATTATCTTAAAAAAACCCAATTCTTTCCCTTCAACTATAAGAACTAAAGATATACAATTTGGCAGGGACTAGAGTTTTATTTTATGTCTTCCAAACCTTACAAGAGTTTTTGAAGTAAAATACAGTAGGCCAGGGCCCATCTTTGTGTCTAAAATCTCTCAAGAAACCTACTTGTGTCCCCTTAAAGTCTTCAGACATTCCCAAGTATATGTCTTCCATATACACAGTGTTCCATCTTCACTGGCACTGAACAAATGGGTATTATTGAAAAATTGTAGCCAGGTCAACGAACCTATTACAGGGGAAAAAACATAAAAATAACATATATAAAAAAAATATTCATATTATATACATCATAATTATTTATGACTATCACGAAAAAATAATCCTTTTTTAAAATACTTCCTACTACAATCTAACATATACTACATCAATTTTCTTGCTGGAATTATTAAATGAGTACTCTTTGATACTCTTAACCATTTGATAATTTAAGACTTACAAATCCACAGACAAAAAAATAAAAGACTTAGAGCTAATAATTGTTACCAGAGTGATGACCCAAGGACCCTAACTGTGACCTTTTCTTAAGGTTGAACAGCTGAATGGTTTCATCTGTTCCTCCAGAGGCAAGGATTCCTTTTCTGGACACTGCTAAATGTTTGATACAACCAGAGTGAGAATGGTCTGTAAAACTTGGCTCTAACTGGAAATCCTTTGAAATAAATTGAAATAATTTTTAAGTTAGTATATTCTATTGTGCATAAATCAAGTAAAAATTCGTCCAACTTACAGTGACATACTGATTCAACAAGGAGTTTTACCATGGCGGCCTGCCATGGTTAAATTTATGTGCGCCATGGTTAAACGAGCTGAACCATTGTAAAAATGGGCATCCGCCATGATTAAATTTTATTGCATTTCAGTCTTGACACCTACTTTTTTAATGACTTGACTAGTTAATTGTGTTTATACTAGGGCTGGGCAATAATACCAATATTTCAATATATTGCAATACAATGACAAAAAATATCGTATCGCAATACGATTTTGTAATATCGATATATTGGCAATATGCAAAGATTAAGGAATTTTGTCATTAAATATAAAAATGGACTTATGAAAGTTTGTTATTTAGCCAACCAGTAAGTCAGAAGTTGTTTTGTGGGAACATTTCAGAGCATATCTTAAATAAAATCAACAAATTTTTTTTCCATGTTAGTTACTTATCATAGTTATGTAAATTCTGCATGTAAATTAAAGTAAATGTAGTAAGAAAATTCCATTTTTATTACATTGAAAATATTGCAATACATATCGCAATACAGTTAGAAATATTGCAATATATCGCAATACGAAATCTCGGGCCAATACCCAGCCCTAGTTTATACTATGACTGCCATGTATCTCGCATGCCTCGAAGGAAAGCGGACTGTGCTAAACAAACATGTCGTTAATCGGCGACTATGCTGTGAAGCGTGACAATCAATGGAGAGTCGATCAACCTGATCAGATGATCAATATTTTGAGAATTTATTATCCTGTAGTACACATGTACATGATTTTGGGGAACTTCAACATGTTCGCTACATGATTAGATAACGGGTTTAATAAAAGATGACAATTACTAGCATGATAATCGTCATGCATGCGATTCAAGTTTCTGTGCCAGAAAAAAATACACTTTATTTTATCTATGTGCTAAATTGAAGCCCGAATCGAGCAGGGGGTCAAAATGGTGTTGCACACCTTGTGTATTTATATGTAGAGGGGGTAGAATTTTTCGATATTTGGCGTATTGTGCAACTTATTGATAAAAATTCAGGTGCCTGTGACAGTACACATATCAGAGTATCATATGAATATTCAAATACTTGCAACCTTTGTCTATTTCTTACAAAAGACATTTTCTGTGAAAAACTGTACATATATAGCTACATCAAGCTATTTTGAATAGCTTAATAAAGCTATAAAGTTTTTCTTTAAACTATGTACTATAGCTAATTCAATCTTGAGATTGCATGGACTTGATTTAAGGAATAACTGTTTTATTTTTCGATTTCATGACGATGATCAATTGATTGGCTTGCGTGATAATTTGCATAAACGCCCAAGGTCGAATATGCATAAAATTATCAGGCAAGCCAATCGATTGATCATCGTCATGAAATAGAAAAATCTGACAGTTATTCCTTATATTTACAAGCTCTTGATTGCGCCAATCCATGTGCTACAAGCCCGGCTTCTGTCTTGCTGTTTGTCCCGCCCTGCACTGATTTTTTTAACTGCGCCTATTGATGAACCAGTACATTCATGTAGAAATAAAGTACATTAACTTTTTGTAATTTTATCAGGTCCAGGAAAATCACTACATTTATTTTAGCTATATAGCAGTAAGCTTAATTGACCTATTTGGCTTTATTTATCTATTTAATATAGCTTTATTTAGCTATTTTAGAATAAGTTTCTATTTTATGAAAAGCAGACAAAAAGTCGCATGAAAATTATGGCTGATATTTTTTTTTAAAAAGGTTTGAAAAAAACAACCTAGGGCATAGATAGTAAAAACATTGCCTCCTTGGTGAACTGCCTCCTTTGGTAACCCCTCCAAAAAATGCATCTCTATTGTTTGGATAGCTTTCCCCCACTGGAAGTGCGATGAGGCATGACTAATGCCCTGTTCACACGAACGAAGAGTTTAATTTGCAGTAAAATAATGCTAAGTAGAACTAATGCGAATCAAATTAATACGAATTAAATTGCATTCACATGACAGCTAATGTGAAGTAAACTAATGCGAATTAAAATTTTTCTTATACAGTCAGGCGTCAGTAAATCTATTATGACATCATTTGTAAATCACGTCATGTATGCAGAGCCCTCCTTTGATACATCATGTAGTGACTATACAGGTATATAGTCATTGATTTTAGTGATTAACATTCCTTCTCTCAATTTTTGAACCAAATATAACACAAATACTATATATAACCACCAACATGTGTCCTGTGACTTAATTCTGGCCTTACGCATGCATCAAAATTTAATTCAAATTAGCTTCGCTTAGCGTTCACATGGAGCTAATGCGAAGTAATTTAATGCGCAGTAAATTAATTCGGATTAAATTCTCCATGTGAACGCTAAGCGAAGCTAATTCGCAGTAACTTTACGTTCAATTCGAATTAAACTCTCCGTGTGAACAGGGCATAAGTGTGGTTGTCTTGCATTGTGCTGAATTATTACCAATCAATTATCTTGCAGGGTTGGAAATTCACTGAAAATCGCTACTGAACATACAATATGCTGATGAAGAAAGCTCAAAATACAAATTTACTGAACTAAATACTGAACCAAATCCATTAGACTTTTTGTTTACTCAAGATGAAATTAAACAAAGCATTTTAAAGCTAAAAAATGGTAAAAGTGCTGGGCCTGACTTAATCTTAAATGAATTTATTAAAACAAACAATACTTCTCTTTTACCAGTTCTTACAAAACTGTTCAATATTTTACTAAAAAATGGAAAAATGCCCAACGAATGGAACCTATCACTTATTACCTCATTATACAAAAATGGTGACCCTAATAATACAAACAATTATAGAGGTCTCAGTGTTACAAGTTGTTTAGGAAAACTTTTTACAGGCCTTCTACAGAAACGCTTAGATAATTATCTTGAGTCAAATAACCTACTAAGCCAATATCAATCTGGATTTAGAAAAGGTCATAGGACCACAGACAATATATTTGTATTAAAAACACTTGTAAACAAATATCTTTATGCAAAGAAACAGAATTTATATGTGTGTTTTGTAGATTTTTCAAAAGCATTTGATACTGTATGGAGATCCGCACTTTTATACAAATTGAATAAAAAGGGTATTCGGGTGGTAACTTTCTCAAACTTTTAACAGACATGTATTCGAACACATACTATTCTTGTAAAAAAGACAATCAAATGAGTGAGAAATTTAAAGCAAATAGAGGAGTCAAGCAAGGTGATAATTTAAGTCCAACACTTTTCAATATTTTTGTTGATGATTTTGTGAATTATTTCAAGAATGTAAGTACATATCCTGCTTATCTAGATACTATGCCAATTAATCATATGTTTTTTGCTGATGATCTTGTCCTTGTATCAGAATCAGAAGTTGGTCTACAAAATTGTATAGATATTTTAGGAAAATATTGTTCGGACTGGAAATTGTGTGTTAATATGGAAAAAACAGATGTTATGATTTTTTCAAAAAAATCTGTTGATGAAGCATCATTTAGATTTTATTATAATCACAAAATGATTAACATAACAAATGAATATAAATATTTGGGTGTTGTGTTTAGATCTGATGGGAAAATGAAATTTGCTGCTGAACAGCTATCAGAACGTGCTAGAAAAGCATATTACGCTATTAAATCAAATTTTCCTGCAAATGTTAATTTTTCTGCTGAAATTATGTTGAAATTATATCAGTCAATGATAATACCAATTATAACATATGGATCTGAAATATGGATAACTGACTTTAAATGTGATTTAATGTCTTCAGACCAGTTTCCTTTTGAAAAAACACAGCACTTGATATTTAAAGATATACTAGGGGTACACAGAAAGGCATCAAATCTTGCTGTTTTATGTGAGTTGGGTCGTTTTCCTTTGTACTATTTATGTTATGAATATATGTTAAAATATTATATGAGACTGAAGGAAATGGAATGCAACCATGATTATAACAATTATTTAGTGGTATCTGCATTTAAAGAAGACAAAAATCTTGTATCTAAAATATCTTGGCAAAAGAAACTGTCTTCATTACTACAAAAATTAAATATTAGTTCTTTGGAAATATCTCACATAACTTTGAAAAACAAATTACAAGAGCATTACCAAAACAAGATATATGAACAACTGGAAAAAGTTAGCAAATCAGACTCTGGAAAGTTAGCATTTTATAGCAAAATTGTGAATCAAGATGAATACAAACTGCAAAGTTATTTAAAACTACCCCTGAAGAAAAGTTGTAGATCTTTATTAACAAAATTAAGGATCAGTGCCCATCCACTATATATTGAAACGGGTAGATACTGTAAACCCCCTATTCCTAGAGAAAAACGTTTATGTTACTCATGTAAATTGTTTGTTGAAGACGAAAAACATTTTGTTCTTTATTGTCCAAAGTATGATCAATATAGATGCAATTATAATGATATATTTAATGTAAACACATATACTAGTGATAACCCCATTAGAAAAATTGTCAATCCTACAAATATTTCAACTGCTAGAAGGATATGTTGTTTCTTGAAAAAGTGCTTTGACATCAGAAAAGAAAGTGAAAAATGAATATTAATATTGAGAAATACACAATTTTGTTCACCTCATATTTCTCACTTTGTATATGCTTGTATTAATTGTGTTAATTTATGTTATGTTATTCATGTTCATGACTGTATGCCGACATGGTAATTGTCAATAAAGTGAATTGAATTGAATTGAAAATAGCATCCAGACACAGGGCTGGCTACTTTTAAAAGTTACCAGTCCTGCTCAAAATCTGCCAGTCCTGATAAAAATGTTCATTATATGAATGTACTATAAATAAAGCTTAATATTTACATTTGTAACACAGGACTTACAGGCCCCTAGAATTTTTCAAAATTTACACAATATTTGAAACCATATCTAATCATAAAACAGGGGATGCATATTTTTAAGTT